ACAGATTCTCCATTTATTTACCATAAAAGTTTTCAGCTCCTGAATGTAAACTTAAAAGTACTTAATCTGCTGATATAGAAATCAAGCATTCTTAGTTCTTACACTCTTGATCTGTCAATTAAAAAATCATTTTTTTCACATATTAAAAATATATGCTTTCAATGATTTAGGTATAGAACCACTAATTCAGGCCTGGTCGGAAAGAACATACAAGAAAGTAGTACATATTTTAAACAAAATAGTTCCTACGCATAGCTGTATCTTTGTCAATAGTGGGAATATTTGGGTAGTTTTAGTATCAAATGAAAGCTTGGGGACTTGGGATGACTGTAGAACCCTTGTTGAAAGTTTTATTTGAATAATAAAGAAGTATATGAAATTTTAATAGGAGGGCTCATTTGACCTGTTGTTCAGATCAGAAGTTCCTGTTTTTGTACTATCAAACTTCCTGGAACCAGTACGCTCTAATATGCAATTAAAGGTATGTTGATTTTTTCAGCACAAGTCAGGATAAGGTACAGTTTTAACATGAAATAACTGCCACTTTATTTGAACTTAAGACAAAGTAGCCATTAATGCTTGAAATTGCAGAATTTAACATAGAAAGCAATGGGGCTATGAATTAGTGGTTTTATACCTTTAAAGCAAAATGTTTTGAGGTGAAATTACAAAAACAAACAAAATTACAGTAATTTTTTTTATAGCCCAGATCAAATCAACAGGATGATTTCACCAAAGGTCATTGTTTGTTAAGGGTTTTACACAACCATAATTTAGTTGAAAACTGTATAAACTGCTGTATGCAAGATAGAAACACTGTTGGTGGTGATTTTCACAATGATTGCTGGTAATTGTAACAAACGGTAATTCACTCTTACTTTTTTCCCCGTCTCGGGCAAATAGTAGGGCAGTGTCATTACCATATATCATTCCTTCAAAGGCCCATGTCTAGACTAGTTTTGCATGAATTAAATAAAGACCTCCTAAAACCAAATTCCAAAACAGAGAAAGACATTAAAAATACATAACAATTGACTATCTGCTGTAATTTGAGTCATGTCTTGCACACCAAATATTTGGTCCATGTAATTCTTATTTTATAACAAACAGTGTAGTGAAAAATGTTCTGCAATCATATCTAATACAAGGTTCATTTAATTATTTGTAGTTTTTTTTTAATTTGAGGTAACAAATGACCACCTTTTACATTGATGATTTTACTACACAAATCATTTGCCTGCTGTACGGATTATGATTGGAGTTTATGTTGAATATCTTTAAGATCAAGATCTTATTACTGGTATCACATAAATTTAACATTATCAATGACCCATGAAAGAAGGGTCAAGGTCAGATTGACCCTATCAGACAGACATGTACACTTTACAATTATTGTATACACCAAATATAGTTGACCTAATGTGGATTCATTATTATTCCAGGGATACCAATATTGGTAATATAACTTAACCACTAATTTCTATAAGGCATGTATACAGAGTTTGGCAAAACCACGAAATCAAACATACCTAAAATGCAATTTTTTCCTCAATCCAAGAAAATTGGTATCCGTTGAAAATAAATGAATCCACAGTATTACTAATAGCATCTTAGAAGTGCACCTTAAATGTAAACTAAACATTAACTAATGAACCATGAAAATAAGGTCAATGACAAATGAACTATTTCATTATATACTGACATGTACACTTTACAATCATTCTTTACACTGAACATAGCTGACCTATTGCTTATAGTATCTGAGAAAAGGAACCAATCACAAAAAACTTATTGAGCACTGAATCATGATCGAAATGAGGTCCGAGGATTGATGGACACCTTACAATCATTCTATACACCAAATTTAGTTGCCCTATTACTGATGAGTCTTTTGCAGACGAAACGCATGTCTGGCGTACAAAATTTTAATCCTGGTATCTATGATGAGTTTATTTACAGTATCTGAGGAACAGATTTACTCATGAAAGCTGAAAGTTGAGCACTGCTGAACAGTGTAGTGAAAAACCTTCACCATGAAATGTGGGCAAGGTTAGTTAAATTTTTTCATATTCTATATTCAGGGCCTTTTATAGCTGACTATGCGGTATGGTTTAACTCATTGTTGAAGGCTGTACAGTGACCAATAGTTGTTAATTTCTGTGTCATTTGGTCTCTTGTGGAGAGTTGTCTCATTGGCAATCATACCACATCTTCTTATTTTTATATATACATAAAATATGGCATAATAATTGAATAAATTCATGAGATAAAATCCTATTCAGCAGTCAATGGACCATGAAAACAAGGGCATATGCCAGAAGGAAATATAAGTTGTAGCATAATAAATATTTATTTATCTTCCAAATCTTTCTGAGGAAAGTTGGCCACACTGTTATTGACAAATCCTAATTAAATATAATATTAAACTGGTCCCTTAGAAGGATTGTCAGAATAACAAAGCCACAGCCTTTTTATTTATTAAAACAGTTGCTAAAGGTATAATTCAGGACTGGTCAGAAAGAACATACAAGAAAGTAGTACATATTTTAAACAAAATAGTTCCTACGCATAACTGTAACTTTGTCAATAAGTAAAATATTTGGGTAATTTTGCTATCAAGTAAAAGCTTAAGGACTTGGGGTCACTGTAGAACCCTTGTTAAAAGTTTCTTTTGAATAATAAAAAAAAAATATGAGATTTTAATAGGAGGGCACATTTGGCCTGTTGTTCAGATCAAAAGTACCTGCTTTTGTACTGTCAAACTCCCAGGAACCAGTGCACTCTAATATGCAATTAATGATATGTTGAATTTTCAGCACAAGTCAGGATAAGGTATAGTTTTGACATGAAATGAATGCCACTTCATCTGAACTTAAGACAAAGTAGCCATTAATGCTTGAAATTGCAGAATTTAACATAGAAAGCAATGGGGCTATGAATTATATATATAATTAGTGGTTTTATTCCTAAAATATAGATTTTTTTTTATTTACCTGGTAACTAATAACTTTATCTAGCTATCAAAATCAAGTAATAAATTAAGAGCTTTTGTTTAACTTACTTGTAAATACTGAGGACCTGTAGGAAGATTCTAATCTATAGCTGTAGAGCAACACTTTATAGAGTAGACCATATGCATGCAGGTGTGATGAAGTGGAGGTCAATATCAGAGACAACCCTGGGATGTTGATGTATGGGGATCAATAGGGATAATACTCAATGTTATTTCACATTTATTATGAGGTAATAAAATGCTCCGCAGGGCGCAGCTTGATACGACCGCAGAGGTCGAACCCTGAACAGTTGGGGCAAGTATGGACACAACATTCAAGCTTGATACAGCTCTGAATTTGGATTGTGATTAAATATTTGACACAGCATAGGTTTCTGACACAGAATGAATGTGGTCTAAGAACTTAAAAATTTTAATTTGGACATTCACCTATTATGGTCCAATATCCAAAATCTAAATACATGGTTAGATTCAGCATATCAAAGAACCCCAAGAATTCAATTTTTGATGAAATCAAACAAAGTTTAATTTTGGACCCTTTTGACCTCAATGTGGACAAAGTTGATAACGGGGCCCAAAAATCAAAAATCTAAATACATGGTTAGATTCAGCATAAAAAAGAACCCCATATATTCAATTTTTGTTGAAATCAAACAAAGTTTAATTTTGGACCCCGATTTGGACCAACTTGAAAACTGGGCCCATAATCAAAAATCTAAATACATGTTTAGATTCGGCATATCAAAGAACCCTAAGAATTCAATTTTTGTTAAAATCAAACTAAGTTTAATTTTGGACCCTTTGGACCTTAATGTAGACCAATTTGAAAACGGAACCAAAAATTAAGAATCTAAATACACGGTTAGATTCGGCATATCAAAGAACCCCAATAATTCAATTTTAGATGAAATCAAACAAAGTTTAATTTTGGACCCTTTGGACCTCAATGTGGACCAATTTAAAAACGGGGCCCAAAATCCAAAAACTTAATACACGGTTAGATTCAGCATATTAAAGAACCCCAAGAATTCAAGAATAAAACCCCATTGAAATTGGTCAAGAAATAAGCAATTTATAGGAAGTATCTTCTTTTGCACAATACTGTGCAATTGAATATTTCTTGCTATTGCACAATACTGTACAATTGACAATTTCTTGCTATTGCGCAATATTGTGCTATTGGGCAATACAGTACAATTGAAGATTTCTTGCTATTGCGCAATACTGTGCAATTGAAGTTTTCTTGCTATTGTACAATACTGTGCAATTGAAAATTTCTTGCTATTGCACAATACTTATTATATAATAATTTACACATCCTGTTTGGTGTGTATCTCCTACCATATCATTATTATTTGCTTTTAAATATAAATCAGAAATAACCAACTTAAAATGGAAAATTTTACAAGAAAGAAAAAAGGAAAAAAAAAAAAAAAAAATTTTTTGAACCCCCTTATGATTCATCACCCCCAAACTCAATCCCAGCCTTCCCTTTGTGGTATGGTACCTTGCAGTACAATTTCAGAGAGATCCATACGCTTGAACACAAGTTATTGTCTGGAAACTAGAAAAATAAGTTTTTTGGCCCCTTTTTGGCCCCAAATTCCTAAACGTTTAGGGCAATTACCCCCAAACTCAAACCCAGCTTTCCCTTTGTGATATGGAACCTTGTAGTACAATTTCATAATCCATACACTTACACACAAGTTATTGTCCTGAAACTACAAAAATGCTTGTTTTTTGCCCCTTTTTTGCCCCTAATTCCTAAAATATTGAGGCAATTACCCCCATCATCAATCCCAGCCTTCCCTTTGTGGTATGGTACCTTGAAGTACAATTTCAGAGAGATCCATACACTTGAACACAAGTTATTGACTGGAAACCAGAAAAATGCTTATTTTTTGGCCCCTTTTTGGCCCCTTATTCCTAAACGTTTTGGGCAATTACCCCCATACTCACTTCCAGCTTTCCCTTTGTGATATGGAACCTTGTAGTACAATTTCATAAAGATCCATACACTTACACACAAGTTATTGTCATGAAACTAGAAAAATGCTTGTTTTTTTGGTCTTTTTTTGGCCCCTAATTCATTATATTTAGAGGCAATTACCCCCAAAATCAATCCCAGCATTCCCTGTGTGATATGGAACCTTGTGGTACAATGTCAGAGAGATCCATACACTAACACAGAAGTTATGTCTGGAAGTTACAAAAATGCTTATTTTTGGCCCCTTTTTGGCCCCGAATTCCTTAACAGTTGGTACCATAACCCCCAAAATCAATCCCAGCATTCCTTTTGTGGTATTGAACCTTATGGTAAAATTTCATAGAGATTCATTCACTTAAACTAAAGTTAGAGTGCGAAAACCAATGTGTCTTCGGACGATGACGACGACGAAGACGCCAACGTCATACCAATATACGACCGCAAAATTTTTTGCGGTCGTATAAAAACTACCATGCATGGTTTACAAATGTTGAAAGTAAAAATACACTTTTTGAATAATTCTCATTTTACTTCATAAAATTATGTCTTGAATCCTGACACTTTCTGGTTTCAAAGAATAGTTCCTCCAACATAAAAAAAACTCATTGTTAGTCAGTATATCTATGTTTCAAATGTTCATATTTTCATTTGTTACAAGACCATTTCTGAGATATCTATTTTGTTGCTGTTTATTTTATGTCTTTTACATTAAATGTATGCACTAATATTTCTTTTTCTTAATAATATCTGGTCGCCAATTGATTGGATGGGTCTCTTCAGTCTGAAAAATGAGAAATACGATGGTAACATATATGCACTACCAATTTATAAAAAGTTTACGTTGCAATATTGTAAAAATTATATACGAAAACAAATGTTCAAATGTTTTTGAAAACAGCAGACATGTGTATTTTACATATGTGTAAATGCTTATAATTGCTAATATAAACAGCTTTGATAAAAAGAAATTAAATGTACAATTGTTTGGAAAACAAAAGGAATTGTCAATGAATATTTGCAATTCATTTAATTTAGAATTGTTAAAAAAACTGAATTTCTGTTTTCAACAATAATGCACATACTGAGATGTGTAAATGCTTATAATTGCTAATATAAATCAATATATTTAGTCTTTGATATCATGACCTTAATACATGAATAAAGAAAACTGAACTTATTCAATGAATATGGAGATAAGATCAAAGTCAGTTGATCCCTGACAGACAGACAGTGGTTGTTGTTGGTTCATGTCTGTCATATTTGTTTTTTGTATATTTTTTTGTTATAAATTAGGCTGATTGTTTTCTCGTTTGAATAGTTTCACATTTTTCATGTCAGGACCTTTTAAAGCCAACTATATGTAGTGGGTTTTACTCATTGTTGAAGACCGTACAATTACCTATAATTCAAGGACCTGGAAATTTTTTCACACATTTACAGTCATTTTGAGATGACTTAAAAGTTGGGGCCCTTTTTCAAACTGTTGAAATTATTCACACTATATTCATAGCATCAACGAACTTGTATTGACTTTTTAATTGCAGTTACTTCATGAATTTTCTTATTGTTTTTCTAAATAGGTTCAAGAACAGTTTATGTTATGCAACAGTTTAAAATTGAAAGTAATGGTTTCTTTCAAATTCTGAAGATGAAATTAAAACTGGAAGATTCACGACAATACTAATGAACGAGTAATTCCAGATTCATTTCAGGGAATCGTTCTGTTTATCAAATTGACAGGAAATCGCCAGATTTTTTATTTTATTACCTTCAAAAGTGTTTGAATATAACAGATAATAGTTCCACAATTAAGTGTCTAATCTGGTGAAGACAATTTCACCCCCAAACTCAATCCCAGCCTTCCATTTGTGGTATGGTACCTTGCACTACAATTTCAGAGAGATCCATACACTTGAACACAAGTTATTGTCTGGAAACTAGAAAAATGCTTATTTTTAGCCCCTTTTTGGGCCCTTATTCCTAAACGTTTTGGGCAATTACCCCCAAACTCAATTCCAGCTTTCCCTTTGTGATATGGAACCTTGTAGTACAATTTCAGAAAGATCCATACACTAACACACAAGTTATTGTCCTGAAACTAGAAAAATGCTTGTTTTTTGGCCCCCAATTCCTAAAATTTTGAGGCAATTACCCCCAAAATCAATCCCAGCCTTCCCTTTGTGGTATGGTACCTTGCAGTACAATTTCAGAGAGATCCATACACTTGAACTCAAGTTATTGTCTGGAAACTAGAAAATTTGGAGGTAATTACCCCCAATATCAATCCCAGCATTCCCTTTGTGATATGGAACCCTGTGGTACAATGTCAGAGAGATCCATACACTAACACAGAAGTTATGTCTGGAAGTTACAAAAATGCTTATTTTTGGCCCCTTTTTGGCCCCGAATTCCTTAACAGTTGGTACCATAACCCCTAAAATCAATCCCAACCTTCCTTTTGTGGTATTGAACCTTATGGTAAAATTTCATAGAGATCCATTCACTTAAACTAAAGTTAGAGTGCAAAAACCAATGTGTCTTTGGACAACGACGACGATGCCAACGTCATACCAATATACGACCGCAAATTTTTTTTGCAGTCGTATAAAAAGTGCAAAATGCCGATTAAGAAACCCGATCTCAATGAAATGACCGAAATCATTTCTGTAAAAAAAAAAATGGCCTAAATCCCATTCAGTCATTTAGAACAAATAGCTTTAATATTTAGGTTTTGACTGGCAAATATGACTGTTTCCAGACCCTTGCTATAATTGCTAACATCCACTTCATTTGAACTCTAGTGTTTCATTGACAATCATACCACATCTCCTTATTTTTAAAATGTACACCTGAAATTGATTTTGTAGACTAAATATAGTTGATCTTATACTCTTGAAACTGAGATACTGACCTATGCGAGAAAAACTTATCTTTGAGCCATAAACCTGAAGTCAAGATCAGGTAATCACTGTCATACAGACATGTACACATTCCACAAATAGCAGCAAAATATTTTTGAAAATTAAGCTGTGTAACTCATCACACTTTGTACAAACTTCTTAAAATAACTTACCGCTGAGTCATCTTCTTTGTATATTTTGACAGTTTTGTCAGCTTCAGCTGTGATAAGACGACTTCCACTCTGGTCATACTGTAAAGCAAAGATTCCAGCTTCTGAATCAATAGATCCTGGCTGTGCTAATGCTTGTAGTCTCTGGAAATTATAACCTGTCTTCCAATCCCAAAAGTGCATGGAGCCATTATCAGCTAAAATACAGAATTTTACAAATAAAACACATATACTTTGCCCATTTAAAAGCTAAATATTCATTGCAAAGTTTTCTACAAGTGTTAAGGGCAATCTTTTATGTAAATTGACATGAAACATCATATCATATTCTCTCATTGAATTTATTTTAATATTATTGAGAATTAATTGTTCCATTGTATTTATGCATCTATTAAAGAACAACACGCTTGTAGCTTTTTAAACATACACAAGAAAAAGAAGAAAATTTTTTTTCACTTGAAATAGTCTGAAGCACTCATTTGGCAAAAATATGCCCCTTTGATATTCATTTTCACCTCTGTTGCAATCGATTATGTTTGCTTTATATTTGTAGATCTTATGCAAATGATCATATTTGCTTTTTTCTCTCTACCTTAAAATTGATTTAGGAGATATAAAAAAAAATATGCCAAACCTGGTAAAAACTGTCATTTAAGGCTTACATTATTGGCAGCTATATTGAATTTTGATGAAATATCAAAATGTTTTTAGATGCTGAACTGCATCTGAATATTGAAAAAAATGTTATATGTGGCATTCATAGTTCAAGAGATACAATCAAGTAAAAATTTGTGAAATAGGTGTATAAATGTATGAAATGTACTAGAAAAACATCGATAAAATACACCTTTTAAAAAAATTTAGTTTTCTCCAAAATCCATCCTTAGAATTTTTTAATTAGATAAGTTCATTGCTGTAAACATGTTTGCTTAAATGATATTAAAACATTAGGGGATCACTGAATTTGTTTATGTTTGTTTGTAGAAATCATGAAGTCTTGAAATGTAGAGTGAAACTATATATGTCGCTCACCTGCATCTTCAACAGTGGCCACTTTTTAGTAAAAAATCATCATTATAGGGGAATAAATCTCTTAAAGGAGCATTAGCTACGAGATATAAACAAAAATAAAATATGATTTTTTTTTGTTCAATCATTAATGAAAATGAAATAATGAAATAACAAATAGTTTTAGTAGCCAGTTTGGTTCAATTTTGTCAAAATAAGCTAAGAAACATCGCTGATGAATTATTCACTTGCAATTAAATAATTCGACCTCATTGAATCCGTGTTTATGTGACCTTCAATTTAACCCCTTGGCAAGAGATGTGTTGCACATAAACAAGGCGTGTTCAGCTATTAAAAGGAAAAGAATGTCAACATTGAAAGTGAAACAAGGATAAACTATTTGGTTGACTGATTGAATTCTGATTCGATCCACAGGTAAAAACAATGATTAACATATTTTTTTAACCTTTAATATGAAATCAAACAAACCTAGAAAAAATCCAATTGCACGTATTCGCTATCTATTTTTGTCTATCTTTATGTTTATATCAGGTAATATGACCATCAGCAGTCTTTGATGTCATCTCGATGGTTAATTAGATGGCGCCTAGACCAAAATACACATGAAATGCTGATACATATTATCGAGTCCATGCATCATAAATTGTATATTTTAGACTTTTTATAATTTGGATATATACGTTTTGGTATGTTATAAATCAAATATAAGAATTTGATTCAATTATCGTTGAACATGAATTTGACAGCTAATGCCCATTTAAGAGTTAACTGACAATTTCAGTCATGCTGACATATTTGTAGATCTTATCCTCCTGATAATTTTTCCTTTTTAAAGTTTCTTATTTTCTATTTTAGTTTTCAAGTTAATGGGCAAAAAAAGTAAAAAAAAATGTTAAAAATTATCATCAAAGGGCAATAACTCCAATAACCAGTCGATTGAAGATTTGGGCCTTATAGCTTATTTGTGGATCTTGTATTGCTGATCATTTGTGCTATTTAAAGTTTCTATCTATCTAATATATTTTTATAAATATTAGACAAAAATGCAAAAAATTGGTAAAAATCATCATTATAGAGCAATAACTCTAATAAAGAGTCGACTGAAGATTTTGGCCATGTTTGACTTATTTGTAGATCTTGTCTTGTAGATCTTTTTGCTACTTAAAGTTTCTTTCTGTCTATCATTATTTTCGAGATAATAGGCAAAAATATCAAATAATGGTAAAATTCATCATTTAAGGGCAATATCTCTTTCAAGAAGTCGACTGACAGTTTTGAGGTAGATGAACAATAGATAGAGCTTAGCATTCTGAACATTTTTGCCCAGTGTCTGAGAAAAGCTCACTTGGCTTTTTAGGCCAGGTCAGCTAAAAAGGGTCAAAAGCACAAAATACTTCAAAGATTCTGACAGAGTTACTCTGAAAAATCTTCTTTTGACATGTATTTTCATACATCATTCATACTTAAATATTTAGTTAGGAAAAGCCAATATCTTCCACAAGTTTAATCAAACATTCTTCCAGAACCAATAAAAAAAATAAATGATGGACACAGAGATATATCTTGCATGTCGGCAGGAAATTCAGGAAAAGACAGCAGGAAGGACAGCAACATTAATTCAAAGTTGCTAGACTATGACCTAGGATGCAGGGCCTTGAAATGATTGACAAACTAAAATGTAGTGATAGTAATGCAACTTAATAGAAAATATCATTGATATATCACAAGTAGTTTCTATCAAACTGACTTAAGCAGAAAACTTAACATTGAAAATTACTAATTAATTCAAAATCGCTGGAACATGACCTAGTGAGCAGGGCCTCAAAATAGTTGTCAAACTGATATGTACTGAAAGTAATGCAACTTTATAGAAAATATCATTGATCTATCACAAGTATTTCAAAACAAACTAAAATAAGCAGAACACGTAACATTGAAAATTGCTTATTAATTGAAAGTCACTGGACCATGACCTAGGAGGCAGGGCCTTGAAATAGTCGTCAAACTGATATGTACTGATAGTAATGCAACTTTATAGAAAATATCATTGATCTACCACAAGTAGTTCCTATCAAACTAACTTGAGCAGAAAACTTTACAATTGTTGATACAGGAAACGCAACACCTATGTCTTGCCTTCCCCAACTTTCGTCGCAGGAAAGACAAAAATAGCAAAGTACGGGGACTTATCTTAACGATTGCCCAGTTGCCCAAGGCAACCAGATTTTTCGGCTGGGCCAATATGTACATATTATCTGGATGTGGATATGTAGATATAGAAAAATATCAGCCCGCGAGCCAGAATATGAAGCTAAATGTCGAGTGAGCATAGCGAATATCTATACAATCCACATTCAGATAACATTTTTATCATCTTTCAAAGCAATGTTTTTTATCAAAATTTCCTTTTTCAATAATTTCGCGGGAATTGTTATTACCAGAGTGTCTCTGTTAAACGTTATTACTAGGCAACACGTCATCAAAATATTAAACCATGGATACACCTTGTGGCCAAAATACGCAGGGTAAAATATTCCCATTAACTAGAGGAAGAAAAATGTTTCGTGTACATGATAATGCATATATGAGAGTATAATATTTGAAGATGATACAAAAAAAAAAAGAAATATTAAAGATTATATTGAAAGATCGTAGTATTTCATATCACCAGAAGAAGAAAATTTCTACTCGCTGACTGCTGAACAGCATACGCTTCATAAAAAATTTCCAGAAACGCATCAAAATGCTGTTTGTTTTCAAGACTAAAAGTACACATATATATTTAAGTAGTCGTAATTCGTAAAGGAGAAGTTAATTTGAGAAAGACAGATGTTGGTAAATTGTCCTTCTTGTTTGTAAATACCTCGACATCTCGCACCTTGTACCCGCCATTTGTACGTGAGAAGACAAGGAAGGTAGGTGTTATTTTTGTAACGACTACCCCACCAAATTGCATTGGGACGGTATTCTGGTTCAGGTTATGGGTTACCATTTCCTATAAGTGCTTTGCCAAATGTTATCATTAAGGAAAACATATTTGGTTCAAACATGTCAAAATTTTCTGTCAGATATTTTCTTCTGTACTGACAAAAAACAGATCTAGATCACCTGGATTTTTGAAATATTATACAAAATTGCTTCGCTGCATTGATATATCATTCTTTTGATGACTTGGAGTTAAAACGACAAGGTACATCATGTCTATGATTCTTGAAAAAAATTATGCTTTCAGTGTATTCAACTAGGTAGCTCAGGGGTCAGAGCATCTCTTTATGAGAAGGTCTTAGGTTCAAATCCTAACTTAGTTACACTGAAACAGTAAATACTATAAATGGAATCTTAACATGTTTTACATGTATTAATCATTTAATATTTTGCCCTCTTCAGTCTATTTCATGTGAATTATCAATGTACATAGACCCCTACATATACAGATATAGCCAATATATATGTTTTACACCATTTTTCACAACAAATACATTAAATTGTGACTTTTTGTGGAATTTTTCAGGATACCAATTTAATATGCAGTGAACATGATAATAAATTGTTGTATGTGTGCTTTTTTTTTATGAAACAATTATTTTTCTTTGTTTTACAAGAAATTTGAGAAAACTTGGTATATGTAATTCAGGCTCAAATAATTTGACATTAGTGATACATGTATCTGTACATGCACTCAGTTTGACTTTGACTTTCATTTGCTGAATTTCCCCCGAATTGAAGTAAAAAATGTCTTTTTGATTGGTCTTCAAAAGCATTATCTTTGTAAGTAACCATTTTGTATGTTTGTTTTGTTTTGTTTTGTTTTAGCAGACGAAATAAGTATTTTAGACTTGTCAGAAAGAGGGTTGTTGTTTTGTGGTAGATTTTGTCCCCTTTTTTATTATTTAAAATGAAATGTTTAATCTAGAGTGTATAATATATGTGCATTTAATTAATCAATTTTTATTATAAGTTTTACTGTGAACTTTATGTTCACCATAAATGTTTTTAATAATTTAAACTGCCACCCCCGCATTGTTGACATTTGTATCGAGAGATTGATCTCAATACAGGTCAGATCAATAGTTCAAATTAGGTCAAATAGTTCAGTTCTGAAAAAAAGTAGTCCCGGCAGAACTTATCAAGACTGCTATCGACTCCATTTTATCAACATCTCGTTTCAGAATGCAAAGTAATTTTAGGAAAAAAGAAATGGTTCATTGTAAAATATGTACTGCAAGTGTAATTTATTTTATTAAAAGAATTTATTTGGTGACTTATCACCATTTCAATACAAGGCAATATGTTGGGAGAATTTGTTAAGTCCTGCTCACTTGATAATGTCTCCTCACTTGCACGCACTAACTGGATACAAGTTTTACAGATATGTTGAGGAAGCTGATATAGCGGTAGGGAAGGATGATAAATTTTATCATCCTGAACGCCCTGATGGGTACTGGAAAACATTTTGGAGTGAATCCCATTTCAACCCTTTCACCGTGATATAAACAAAAACTGTTCCCATACAGAAACCAGATTGTTTAATCAAAGCAGGAAAATTAAAGTGAGAATTTCAGGAAACCAGTAAGTTCATTTTAATAACCAAAATCCGGTCGGACAACTTAGTTTTCGATGTGAAGTAAAAATTTGACATATACCCATTCTCTCATGTCTCTAATTATGTGTTCTTATTTCTCTTTTAAAACTTCTAAAATTATTTCATTATTGTTAAGTGTTTTCGCCTTACTGTGGAATCTGCATTGCTTTAGAGATGCATTCCAGTTGTCGAGGGAGTCATTACAATCCCATATTTAATGATAACTTGTCTAAGCATTGCTATTTACAAAATCTTCAATGAAAAAAACAAAAACGCAAAATCTCGTAAATAAATATCAAAATATCTATTTTGCTACTCAATCTTCAATAAAATGTCAGTGAATAATATTTTTGATCAACACCATTGGAGGATGGCTTTGATTTGAAATAGCATTAAAGATTCATAGAAACAATAGTGGGAAATTCACTAAAATCAGTATTGTCAAATCTTATGATATATTTCAGGTGGCAATAATTCAAATATTATAAAGATATCAAAGGTAATATTTACCAGACTCAAAAGCTACATAAAGGATTACCCCAAAAAAAGGCTTTTTTAGAATATGAAAAGTACAATTAAGTTTTATTTAATTTGTATAAAAATTGGTTAAGCCCTTGAAATTTCAACTTGGCCCCTGAAAAAAATATTTTTGGGGCCCAGCTGGCCCCTGGACAAAATCAGTAAAGTTAAGTCCCTGAATTATAATTATAAAATAAGGGATCATACCTCCAGACACTAGAACACCATCAGAATTGACTGTCAAAGCATTAATGATTGCATTGTGTCCTGGGAGATTCTGAATAAAGTTGCCATCAGGAAACTTCCACTCTTTAATGTTATCTGCGGAGGCTGAAGCAAATGTGTAACTGGAAAAAATAACAATGTTTACAACAAGGTGATTTTTTTACAGTGAAAGTAATAACAAACTAGACTTCAAGGATCCTGAATCACTCATCTGGTAAAAAATATGCTATATTAATATCTATGTTAAATTTTAAAATGAAATTTTTGTTAACAAAATCTTCCAAAACCAACCTGTTTATTATAGATGTCTAGATAATAGGCAAAGATAAAGCAGTTTTGACCTTGCATTGCTGATCTTTTTTGCTGTTTACAGTTTTTTTTTTCTATCTATTATAATTTACAAGATATAAGTAATAAATGCTAAATCAAGTCCAATATCAGCATTTAAGTGAAATAACACCTTTAAGTACTCAGTCAATAAGTAGTTTCAGTCACATTATAATTTTTATAGATCTTGTATAGCTGACCATTTTTGCTGTTTAAAGTTTCTCTCTATCTGTTTTAGTTTTCAAGATAACAGACATATTGTGACACTTTTACTATCTCTGTCATTTAAACGCAATAACTCCTATAAGGATTTATTTTATGGTTTCAGTCATTAGCATTTTTTGGTGTATTTTTAAATGCTGATCATTTCTCTTTAGGCATATTGCTGAATGTTAACAGTTTCTTTTTATCTATTCTAGTTTCTAATAAAATGCTCTGCTGGGCGCAGCTTGATACGACCGCAGAGGTCGAACCCTGAACAGTTGGGGCAAGTATGGACACAACATTCAAGCTTGATACACACTGAATTTGGATTGTGATTAAATATTTGGCACAGCATAGGTTTCTGACACAGAATGAATGTGGTCTAAGAACTTGTAAATTTTTAATTTACCTATTCAAACCATATCATTATTATTTGCTTTTTATATATAAATCAGAAATAACCAATTCAAAATGGAAAATTTTAAAGAAAAAAAAAAGAAAAAAAGGAAAAAAAAATCCCTCCTCCCAATTTTTTTGAACCCCCTTATGATTAATCACCCCCAAAATCAATCCCAGCCTTCCCTTTGTGGTATGGTACCTTGCAGTACAATTTCAGAGAGATCCATACACTTGAACACAAGTTATTGTCTGGAAACTAGAAAAATGCTTGTTTTTTTTAACCCCTTTTTGGCCCCAAATTCCTAAACGTTTAGGCCAATTACCCCCAAACTCAAACCTAGCTTTCCCTTTGTGATATGGAACCTTGTAGTACAATTTCATAAAGATACACTTACACACAAGTTATTGTCCTGAAACTAGAAAAATGCTTGCTTTTTGCCCCGAATTCCTAAAATTTTGAGGCAATTACCCCCAAAATCAATCCCAGCCTTCCCTTTGTGGTATGGTACCTTGCAGTACAATTTCAGAGAGATCCATCCTTTTGAACACAAGTTATTGTCTTGAAACTAAAAAAATGCTTATTTTTGGCCCCTTTTTGGCCCCTTATTCCTAAACGTTTTTGGCAATTACCCCCAAACTTAATTCCAGCTTTCCCTTTGTGATATGGAACCTTGTAGTACAATTTCAGAAAGATCCATACACTTACACACAAGTTATTGTCATGAAACTAGAAAAATGCTTGTTTTTTGCCCCTTTTTTGGCCCCTTATTCCTAAAATTTTGAGGCAATTACCCCCAAAATCAATCCCAGCGTTCCCTTTGTGATATGGAACATTGTGGTACAATGTCAGAGCGATCCATACACTAACACACAAGTTATGTCTGGAAGTTACAAAAATGCTTATTTTTGGCCCCTTTTTCCTTAACTGTTGGTACCATAACCCCCAAAATCAATCCCAACCTTCCTTTTGTGGTATTGAACCTTATGGTAAAATTTCAAAGAGATCCTTTTTCACTTAAACTAAAGTTAGAGTGCGAAAACCAATGTGTCTTCGGACGATGATGACGAAGCCAGAACAATGACAACGACGCCAACATCATACCAATATACGACTGCAAAAATTTTTGCGGTCGTATAAAAAGACAGAAGGCAAAAACAGTTTGGCTATCAGGATGGCAGCATCTTAAGTTGAATTAATTTCATTATTGAAACTGCCTTTTCTTGTCAAAGATTTACACAGTTACCAGTATTTTGCATTTGAATACATAAAGGTAATCAATCGGTCATAAACATTAAACTAATATGCTACCTTGAATATGACTCAAAGCAGACAAGTGAAAATCAAAAGGTTTATTGACAGTGCATAATTTACATAGAACATTTTAAAATGACAAAGTATTGGCCAGGAATCCAAGCTACTCCAATATCATATTATATAATGCACTCAAAATGGCCATCACACAATGGGGCCTTTTAAAAATAATTCAAACCTTCTAATTTGAACAAAAGAGGTTTGGTTAATACAAGTCTCTTTTTTTTTGTATAACTTACTGTTTTGGATGAAGTGTGAGAGCTCTAACACTCTTTTTATGATTAGTGAGAGTGACTCGTGATTTCCCTGCTGCTAAATCCCACAATCTTATTGTAGAGTCATGACTTCCTGTTATCACCTGTAAAAAATCAACAGGCTTTTCTTATTTATGTGAATCACTGCAACAAAAATCTCTAAGATTTAGCTCATAAACCATTTGAAGTTATTGTCCTAACATTTAACCACTATCTGCTGCTTTTATCTACAAAATGCTAATCATTGTGTCATATTTGTCAACCCATACAAAGGAAGAATGACAATATACAGACATATATACACATAAGGAGATGTTGTATGATTGTCAATGAGACAACTATCCACCAAAGTTCAAATGAAGTGGATGTAAGCAATCATATGCAATTGTACAGCCTTCAACAATGAGAAAAACCCATACCGTATAGTTCACTATTAAAAGCCCTCACATCAATGCCCATTTTTTTTAAATTACTATAAAGATGTGCCATACAAGGATCCAGACAAAAACTTCACACAATTTCAGTCATTATTTTATGAATTAAAAGTAGGGCATTTTTTTATCTTTCAAATTTATACCAGAAATCACAACATAAACAAAAAGCAGTTTAAACTCTGAACTACATAAAATATCATCCCTTTTTAGGTAAAAACAGTTAAGAATAATTTGTGGCATGTAAAAGTTAAAAATTAAAAAGATTTTAATTTATAATTGCAAATTGACTAAATTTTTCCAGACCCTTTGTGCCATAACACATGTACATGTATCTCCTTCTTATGACCATTTGGTAAAAATATCACAACTTTAACCTGATCACAAAGAGCAGCATAATACGGAAATTATTTGACTTGGTTAAAATTTTCTTACTTTTGTAGATTCTATTCCAGCAGATTGTTATACGAATGAAGCTCAAACAACTGTATAAAACTGTGATTGAATTATCTCAGATAAATGTGATTGACAGACCTACCAACTATCCCGATTTATGGGGGATATCCCCCATGAGAGGTATTGACCTGAATTTTGAAATTCTTAATTTTATAAACAGAACACCTCAAAGCAGGTATTCAAATGAGTTATAAGGGTATTTAAGCACATATATACTCATTCAAACAATAAAGTAGTAGATTAAGAACACTTAAGACAATATGAGAGAAGCATAAAAGTCCCCATAGAGATTTTGAAAAGTTGGCAAGTATGGATTGATATTGTAGAATAAATGAGATCCACATGCATAAGATACTGATAAATTACAATTTCTAATCAACTTATTAAAAATACAGTCGACTCTCATTATATCGAAGTCTGTCCAACCAGAGAAATAGTTAAAGATACTCGTAATTTGACTCAAACTAATACCGGATGTTTGACAGACAAAGGAACACAACTCTTGCTTAGCTTGGTAAGGCTAATATAACTCCATATGTATGGGTCAGGATCGATATTCTGGTCTGAGAAAAAAGACTGAGATTGATGTATAAGAATGTTATTGTGTTTTATAATTTTAATCAAATTATGTTGTTTTTTTGTCTCTTTGTTATTTCTTTGTTCAGTAACAATTTTTCATGTAGTTTTCAGCCGAGAGAATCATTTTTGACTTTGATTCAAAGACATGTTGAAAGAAAACAACACAAATCTTATGTAAGATAATTAAAATTAATTGATAGATTTTCATCCCCGTCCACCCATCTGAAATCGTCCTGCCAGATTTTATTAAATTTTTTAAAACTTACAGATTTTGTTCATTTCTGTAACTGGTAACCAAGCTGACAATTTCGTTTCATACAAAATTTCCTAGAGCAAAATATTGTCAGGGTTTTCGTATTTCTTCGAGTAGTTTAACCAGGATTATTAAGTTGATCTACGATGGTTAAGTTACATTGAGAGTAGGACAGATTGATTACAAGAAGGGTCTTAAATATTCGACTCACGAGTAATTAGCCGTGATCCGTGTCAGAGAACACAAATCACAGTACGTGACAACTTTCAGTGATTAGAAAACTTGGAAATAACACTGTGTAGGGAAATTTGGCCCATAAACCCCCATATCTAAAGCATGAGAATCAGGGAACACATGGTATGAAAAACATGACTGGAGTAAAAAAAATTTACCCAATCACAAACTTGTGCGATGTATTACACTGTTGAAGATCATATGAAATTTGAGTACAAAACGGATTTACTTCCAAACTATCCTTATATGTTGACAAAACCCCAACACCCTCTAAACCCAGCCATTCATTTAACTCATTAATGATAAACAACTTCTTTTTTTGAGCCAATTAATGTTTAAGGCAGTGATGCATCTTGCATACATGTAAAAATATCCAAAGCTCCAACCCTAGTATTTTCAACACAGATATTGGTTTTCATCTATGTTCAATCTGTACTCAATATACTTGTTTTTCATACCAATAAATGTCGTGATTCTTGCTCTTTGGATATTATTCTTGAGCCTTGAGGGTTTATCAATTTGATGTGGATGATAATCACTACTAGTTTTCTCATTTGAATTGTTTTACATTTGTCATTTCGGGAACTTTTATAACTGACTATGCGGTATGGGTTTTGCTCATTGTTGAAGGCCATACAGTGACCTATAGTTGTTAACCTCTATGTCACTTGGTCTCTGGTGGAGAGTTGTCTCATTGGCAATTATACCACATATTCTTATTTTTATAGCTTGCAGGGCCCAGCATGTTCATGAAACACTGCTGAAATCATTTTATAGACACTACAAACATAGCTCCGAAAGTGTAAAAATATTGATGCAAGTAGTCTAAAAAGAGCATTTTTCATACTTCCCATTTTGCTTTGTACTGAAAATTGATTTCTGAAGAAATTGAATAGTGGTTGCCAATCAGAAATATTATTTCAGAATTTGAAAATAAATGAAAATCAATACACAATTCTTTATATATAAGCTATTTATATTTCCCCCAAGTCCTAACATATGAAGAACAACTTACAAAAGGGTTTCACAGGAAATTAAAATGAACAAGAATGTGTCCATAGTACACGGATGCCCCACTCGCACTATCATTTTCTATGTTCAGTGGACCGTGAAATTGGGGTCAAAACTCTAATTTGGCATTAAAATTAGAAAGATCATATCATAGGGAACATGTGTACTTAGTTTCAAGTTGATTGGACTTCAACTTCATCAAAAACTACCTTGACCAAAAACTTTAACCTGAAGCGGGACATCTGACGGACTGATAAAACATAATGCCCCTCTACTATCGTAGGTGGGGCATAAAAAATAAAATCCTCCCACCTGCCCCAATTTTTCCAAAAAGTTCGATGAAAATCTACTTATTAATTTCAGTAGGCCTAATCAAGAAAATAATTTGTCAGATTTTAGAAAATTTAGATTTCTTTTCATTTTCTTTTATTTCGATCTTTTCCCACAAGAGAATACGAAAGATTAAATTCGCCGAATGAGTAGTTTTGAGTTGTTAACTGACTCTCATTTAATGCACAACCAAGCTCATTAATTACAGTTAATTGATTATAAAACTTTTTAAATATTTCGATAATTATTTATTATGGTGATCAAAGAAAATCTTAGGTAAACATTCTCAGGAAAAGATGTCATAAATCAAAACAGTTGTATATATGTCCAGAAATTTAATTAATTTAATTTAAATCCCTGAGATCATGTTTTGACATATGTGTATTACTTCAACACAACGAATGCAATTCATATGCTTTTGTTAACCTTGGGACCGTAACTTTGGTTCAACACAACCGATATTAGGAGTTGAAATACATATATTTGTATGGAACAAAGTTCGGGACAACAGGAAAATTTGAACTCATCTGAAATTTCGAGTCAACCAAGTTCGAAACAAAGAGAGTTAACTGTAATATCTTACCTTTTTATTTCAAATCACAGAGTAACATTTAATATATTTTTATTTCCACAGGAACTATTATAACATTGAATCAATATGCTTAGCTTTAAAACGAATTACTTTTTCCTATTAAGGGAAACTTTACATGTAAAAAATTGGTGGTAGATGATTAAAATCTTATTCTATTTTTCTTATACTTTTTGAAATTAATTTTTTATATATGATTAAATCTAGCAGCCATGTTTTTCCTCTAATCTGAACCAACTGAGAATCATTCATAGATTACCTTCCATCCCCATCATTCCTGCCAAGTTTGGTTAATATCAACATGATCAAGTTGAAGTGAAAATGATGAAAACAGATTTTCTAATGGTTTCAATGTGAACTATGCACTACATGCGTGGCGGCATCATCCTTGCCACCTGATCAACATTTAGTGTGCATTTTTTGTAAAGAGTCTTTCCAATCATCTTTCCACAAAAAATTATATATGTTTAAGAGAAGATTTGTTTTAAATTAGCTTATCAGAATCAAAGATTGCCTTAACTAGCCATGGCTTTTTCCAAATGGAACCAAAAGAGCAAATTTTGTTTAGCCTGTTTAGTAAAAATCAAATATGGCTACCATTGTTTTCATCCAATTGTAAATAAAAGATAATGAATTATAAATTTAAGGACCTTCCAGCTAAGAAGATATAATGAATGTAATGTGATGACTAAGTTAACATGGCTCTTTAAACAAGGCAACTGACAATATATAGCATGTTCTTGGCTTAAAGGAATAATTTGGTGACAATAACGTGAACTGAAAATATACTTAGCACATGTTTTTCTTCCAGAAGAAAAAAATAAAAGTTATGTCTTTACAAAAATTCAAATGTTATTTAACATGAATATATGTCTGAGTTGCCATTTCAAAGAAAAAAAGCTTAAAACAAACCTGAGGTTCAGCAGCCTGACATCTGATATCAGCAACAGTATTATTATGTCCTGTTAACGTGTGTATACATGCTTTTGTTCTCATATCCCAAACTCTTGCTGTACCATCCCGACCACATGTCAATAACACATCTATTGTAGGGTGAAGGTCAATCGCATACACTGCACTCAAGTGTCCATGGTAATGTTTGATAGTCTGTTAAAAAAGATCAATATTATTTTTTTTAAGGTAAAAGATATTTATGACCTTCCAGATGCTAAATGAAGAGTTAAACCTACATTAAGACAACAAGGTTTGCACTTCTAACCAAAATAACACAAGTTGAAACAGATTCTAGCTTTTTAGAAGATCCAGTTGAAACTGCAGTGTTCTCCCCATGGCCTTTTAGCATCATGGTAATGTGATACTATATTGCTGGAGTGTGATGCTTACTGATATGATTTTCTTATAGATTGTGTTATGGATATGATATAATTTCTAGAAACAAAATTTCCTGTTAACCAGGATGCTATACAAAATTTGTGGGGAATATAATGAACTGTTTAAGTGAAAGTATAAGGTAGATGACATAAGGGTTACGATTCCACTATAATCAGGTTTGACTCATTGGAGATTGACAGTTTTCATGTTTCAATAGTATGTCACATATTGCCATCCTTGTATGATTAATGTTGAAAAAATGTTATTTCTTACTGTTTTAAATTTTATTCTAATTTGGAGAATTGGTTTTTAAAGGCAGATCTTTAATAAATTGCTTCTATTAGATTATAGACTTTGGACAATAAGAGCATGACAAATTGTATAGAAACCTGTCTATGAAATCAAGAGGAACCCTGTCAGACAAAACAGGAACACCTTTCTTTATTCTATATATTGAATATAGATGACTTTTTACTTATAATATTTAGAAATGGACCTAATCAAATTAAATGTTGACAAATTAACTATAAAAATGAGGTCAAGGTCAGATGAGCCCTCTTAAACGGACATACATACCTAGCAATGATTGTTAGACTTCATTATAGTTGACACATTATTTATACTACAGGTCATATGTATTTTGTCATTCCAACTGTCCCACCTTTAATCATTTATACATAGTTAAGATCGATTAATTAGGTTCTTTTTATATAACAAAATTTTCAATTTTAGAGAAACAGTTATGGTAATATTTCAAAATCAGGGGGTCATAAATCGTTTTTATTAACTCTACCCAGGCGAATTATTCCTTGAGGCAGTCATGCTCATGCGCCTTACGATTCATCAAGGCATCACCTGTCAGATGCCAGACGATTCCTAAATATATATAATAAACTGCTTCGCTGAGCGCAGCTGGATACGCCCGCAGAGGTCCAACCCTGAACAGTTGGGGCAAAAATGGACACAATATTCAAGCTTGATACAGGTCTGAATTTGGATTGTAATTAAATATTTGACATATTACAGGTTTCTGAATGAATGTAGTCAAAGAACTTGAAATTGGTTATATGAATTAAATTTATATTCAATTAAAGATTTCTTGCTGTTGTGCAATACACTGTGCTGTTGCGCAATACTTAGTAAATCTGTTGTCAGACTATAAACAAATAAAGTTCAATTAATTCTCAATGTCATATTAGAAATTTATGAAAATCAAAAGGGAGCTTACATCAATAGATATAAACAATTCACCAAAGTTTCATGAGAATTGCTGACAGCATTTTTGAGTTATTGTCCGAAAACTGGAAAATCCCCCCTTTTTTAATGAATAAAAACCCATAACTCAGAAATGTAAAATGTAAAATTTATAAAATTCTAAAGGGGGATTACTTAAATAGATATAAACAATTCACCATAGTTTCATAAGAACTGCTGAAAGCATTTTTGAGTTTTTGTCAGAAAACTGGAAAATCCCCCTTTTTTATGAATAAAACCCTGTAACTCGGAAACGTAAAATCTAAAATTTATAAAAATCAAAAGGGAGCTCATGTCAATAGATATAAACAATTCACCACAATTTCTTGCAAGTTGGTGAAAGCATTCTTGAGTTATTGTCCGAAAACTGGAAAATCCCCCTTTTTTTAATGAATAAAACACCATAACTCAGAAACGTAAAATTCAAAATTTATAAAAAACGAAAGGGAGCTCACGTCAATAGATATAAACAATTCACCAAAGTTTTATGCAAATTGGTTAAAGCGTTTTTGAGTTAATGTCCGACATGTTGACGACGGACGGACAGACGGACGGACGGACAACGGTATACCATAATACGTCCCGTAAACGGGCGTATAAAAATGGTCAATTTCAGTAAACAATCTCAAGTACTGTGCCCTCAAATTGTAGCATAACAATAGGATATATTCTGAATTTTGAACATAATAAGCAAATGGAGAATACCGCCAAAAAATTCATAAAAAATTATGTTGACAATGATGTTGAGAGACATCACTTGGGAAGTTAACATTTAATTGAAAAGATGACATTTTCTTCTGTAAACAATGATGGGAAATTATACCCAAGGAAAAATCTAGATGGAATAAAAATGTATAAATGGTAGCAAAAAGGGAACATGTTTAATTGACAATGGTGTTATTGGACAAGTTTTTGTAAAGAAAATTGGCTCCACTATTTTTGTTGATTTAATGGTGAGCAAAAAATCATTAAATTTTGATCTTTTATAATTGTCATAGTATTCACTATGCCTGTGTCTGTAGTGATGTTTTGAATTTAAATGAACGTAATCTATGTATTACTGGTAAATTATTAAGTCAGGGATTTCGTTACCACAACTTATTTTAAACCTTTACTAAATTCTTCCATAGATACAAAGATTTGGTTTGGAAGTTTGGCTGTACCTGTAGAAAACTTATTTCAAATGGGATACCACATCCTAATTTTTACAGAGATGTTGTTTATCGAGCCCGGAAATTTATATATGATCCACATGAACTTATTTATCCATTAAATAAACTTATTCTAAAAGGTTACCAATTCAACACTGTAATTAGATCTCTGAATATTGTTTTTATTGGTATAAATATTGATTTAGTTATCAGTAAATTAACTAAATATCATTGTTATATACATATGCACATTCATGGTTCTACAATCTATCAATATCTGTATTTTGGCATTGCACAAGGTCATGTTTTTCTCTGACTAATAATGATGTCTTTACACTAAATTCATTGGATGTTGGATGTGTACTGATTGATATTTTAGTCTTAGATGCATGATTTTTTATGAGTTGTTATTGACTTTGAACTACCTGTCAGTAACTGAGAGTATTCTTAGACCTGTACTTAAGTGTCTTTTTTGTTACGGGGATGTATAAATACCCTGCCACATCCGGTCTTTGTTTTTGTTTGATGTTTTTCTGCTTTGTATCCATCTGATGAGCTAAGCCCTTTTCAAATGATTTTTATAGATTGTTCTTATGTTGTACTGTTACACCACTGTCCCAGGTTAGATGGAAAGTTTGGCACCAGCAAACTAGTTTAACCCCGCCATTCTGTATGTGCCTGTAATTCTGTGGTTGTCATTTGTTGCTGTATATCATATTTGTTTTTCATTCATCCTTTTGTACATAAATCAGGCCGTTAGCTTTCTCTTTAGAATTGTTATACATTTGTCATTTCGGGAACTTTTATAGCTGACTATGCAGTATGGGGTTTGCTCATTGTTGAAGGCCATACAGTGACCTATAGTTGTTAATTTCTATGTCATTTGGTCTCTGGTGGAGAGTTGTTTCATTGGCAATCATACCATCTCTTCTTATCTTTATATAAATAAAACAAAGTATTGCATATAGAGTTTGTTTAAGGTATAATAAAACAGACTGATTTCTATCAGAATATACCAACCTTGTTATATTCAAGATCCCAGCATTTCACTTGTTTATCTTCTCCACAAGAAAACAAATATGGCTGTCGTGGACTTACTACTACACCTCTAACAGCACTGATATGGCCAGTTAGTGAAAGTTTTAAAGTTCCTGATGCTAAATCCCATATCTACAAATAATAATGATAGTACAAATAAACTGTTGACACAGATTACCTCCATGGAAATGAGAAAAGTCAATGCCAACATAATTGCATATCAAATACCATTGACTTATTATAAGTGGTTCCCTTCAAACTTATCTAAACACAAATTTTGGCATGATAAACTATGTAAATGTTTCAAAGTCAATAAACCATGATCCGGGGGCAGGCCATATAATCTCTATGGACATAAAATGTGCAAATGCTAATATAACTGTGCATACCAAATATCATTGACCCATCACTAGTTGTTCCACTTAAACAGACCTTAATTTTGATAATAAAAAACCACCTTTAATTTCTAAAACTTATTAAAAAACCAAGTAGAAGTTTAATTTTCAATTATATGTCATTACATTTAATTATACGTCAGTAACATCATATATGAGTATAGAAAATATTGATCCTTCAACATGAGACTGTTAATCATCAAAGTTTAGATATGATCCCAATGGCCATGTCATTACAGGGGACCTCAACATTGTTCAGGACCAAGAGGACCTGTTATAGCTGACTATACAGTATGGGTTTTTGCTCATTGATGAAGGCTGAACGGAGGCCTACAGTTGCATATATCTGCTTTATTTGGATTCCACTGGATAGTTGTTTCATTGAAAATCATATCACATCTCCTTATTTTATACTTATCGCAGATTAATGCATTTTTAAAGTTGCTGGATCATGGGAATAGCATGTTTATATCTTGCTTTTTCAACAAAGCGAGACAAAAAACTAATAAGAGCCTGTCAGATTGACAGCAAACCTGATTTTCCTGCATGAAAATGATATTTGCCAATCTGGACCCCCAAACAAGATCAAGTAAAAATAATAAATGAATTTTTGTAGGGTTCAGAAATTTAAAGGCCAAAATCAATCTAAGTATCACTTTTTGCTACTTAAGGTCTACAACTCAACAACAATAAAGGCTAAAATTGTGAAAATCCAATTTGACCTTCATGTAGTTACAGGAAACAACATATCTAAATTTAAAAGATTTCATCAAAGTGTGTTCAAGTAATTGCAAGCACACTGTTTGGCTGCCGCCCGCCGTACATCACCTAATTAAGAACCAATATTTTCCTTAGGAAATCCGGTTTGAAATAACTAATTACCAGTAATTAAACATTGATGTCAGAGAGATATTGTGAATAAAACTTTCTAAATATTTACAATTTCTCCACATGTTTTCAAATTTAGAATAGGAAATAACAAAGGGGAGAGTATGATTAGGTTACTATTTAGGTCATTGAATTAAAAACTTTTAACAAAATAAATCTCAAAAATAATATCCTTCAGTTGTTCCTATATCATTACTCTGTCAGATATTAGTATCTTTGTTTTTGTTGTCTTACATTTTTGGATTAGGGTATCAAACTTCATGCATTTAACGCACAACTTCAAAATTGTGCTCCGCCTGAAGCAGCTGGATACGACAGCAGAGGTCGAACTCTGAACAGTTTGGGCAAGTATGGACACAATATTTAAGCTTGATACAGCTCTGAATTTGGATAGTGATTAAATATTTGACACATTATAGATTTCTGACACAGAATGAATGTGGTCAGATAACTTAATAAAATGCTTCGCTGAGCGCAGCCTGATACGACCGCAGAGGTCGAACCCTGAACAGTTGGGGCAAGTTTGGAAAAGTATTCAAGCTTGATACTGTCTGAATTTGGATTGTGATCAAATTTTTGACATAATATAGGTTTCTGACACAAAATAAATGTGGTCAAAGATCTTAAAAACTTGAAATGGGACATTTAATTTACCTAGAATGGTCTGATATCCAAAATCTAACAACATGGTTAGATTCAGCATATAAAAAAACACCAAAAATTAAATTTTAGTTGAAATCAAACAAAGTTTAATTTTGGACCCTTCAAACCTCAATATGGACTAATTTGAAAACAGGGCCCAAAATAAAAAATCTAAATGCAAAATAAGATTCAGCATATCATACAGCTGCAATAATTCAGTTTTTGATGAAATCAAACAAAGTTTAATTTTGGACCCTTTTGACCTCAATATAGACCAATTTAAAAATGGGGCCCAATCTCCAAAAAAGTAATACATGGTTAGAACCCCCAAAAATTAAAGACTTTAAATTAATCCCATTGAAATTAGTTAAAAGATTTGTATTTATTTTCAATTGAAGATTTCTTGCTAATCCGCAATACTGTGCTATTGTGCAATACTGTGTTGTTGCACAATACTGTGCTATTGTGTAATATTGTGCAATTGAAGATTTCTTGCTATTGCGCAATACTGTGCAATTGAAGATTTCTTGCTAATGCGCAATACTGTGCAATTGAAGATTTCTTGCTATTGTGCAATACTGTGCTATTGCGCAATACTGTGCAATTAAAGATTTCTTCCTATTGCGCAATACTGTGCAATTGAAGATTTCTTGCTATTGCGCAATTCTGTGCAATTGAAGATTTCTTGCTATTGCGTAATACTGTGCAATTGAAGATTTCTGGCTATTGCGCAATACTGTGCAATTGAAGATTTCTTGCTATTGCGCAATACTGTGCACTTGAAGATTTCTTGCTATTGCGCAATATTGTGCTATTGCTCAATACTGTGCAATTGACGATTTCTTGCTATTGCGCAATACTGTGCTGTTGTGCAATACTGTAATATTGCTCAATACTGTGCAATTAAAGATTTCTTGCTTTTGCGCAAAACTGTGCTATTGTTGCCCAATACTGTGATATTGTACAATACTGTGCTATTGCGCAATACTGTGCAATTATTAGAAATTTCAAAAATTTTGAAGAAAAAAAATATGAACCCCTAAAAAAATTGGAAAAAAAAATCCCCCCAAACTTTTTGAACCCCCCTCCTGGAGTAATTACTAATCCCCCCAAACTTTTTGAACCCCCCTCCTGGAGTAATTACTCCCTAACTCAATCCCAGCCTTCCCTTTATGGTATGGAACCTTGTAGTACAATTTTAGAGAGATCCATACACTTAAACACAAGTTATTGTCTGGAAACTAGAATAAACTGCTTCGCTGAGTGCAGCTAGATACGCCCGCAGAGGTCCAACCCTGAACAGTTGGGGCAAAAATATTCAAGCTTGATTCAGCTCTGAATTTGGATTGTAATTAAATATTTGACATATTATAGGTTTCTGAATAAATGTAGTCAAAGAACTTGAAATTGGTTACATGAATTGAATTTATATTCAATTAAAGATTTCTTGCTGTTGTGCAATACTTAGTAAATCTGTTGTCAGACTATAAACAAATAAAGTTCAATTAATTCTCAATGTCATATTAGAAATTTATGGTAAAAAAAGGGAGCTTACATCAATAGATATAAACAATTCACCAAAGTTTCATGAGAATTGGTGACAGCATTTTTGAGTTATTGTCCGAAAACTGGAAAATCACCCCTTTTTTTAATGAATAAAACCCCATAACTCAGAAATGTAAAATGTAAAATTTATAAAATTCTAAAGGGAGCTTACATCAATACATACAAACAATTCACCAAAGTTTCATAAGAATTGCTGAAAGCATTTTTGAGTTTTTGTCCGAAACTGGAAAATCCCCCCTTTTTTTATGAATAAAACCCTGTAACTCGGAAACGTAAAATCTTAAATTTATAAAAATCGAAAGGGAGCTCATGTCAATAGATATAAACAATTCACCACAATTTCATGCAAGTTGGTGAAAGAATTCTTGACTTATTGTCCGAAAACTGGAAAATCCCCCTTTTTTTAATGAATAAAACCTCATAACTCGGAAACGTAAAATCTAAATCTCATAAAAAACGAAAGGGAGCTCATGTCAATAGATATAAACAATTCACCAAAGTTTTATGCAAATTGGTTAAAGCATTTTTGAGTTAATGTCCGACATGTTGACGATGGACGGACAGACGGACAACGGTATACCATAATACGTCCAGTAAACGGACGTATAAAAATGCTTGTTTCGGCCCCTTTTTTGCCCCTAATTCCAGAACGCTTTGGGCAATAACCCCCAAACTCATTCCCAGCCTTCCCTTTGTGATATGGAGACTTGTAGTACAATTTCATAGAGATCCATACACTTACACACCAGTTATTGTCCGGAAACTACAAAAATGCTTCTTTTTGGCCCCTTTTTTGGCCCCTAATTCCTAAACTGTTGGTACCATAACCCCCAAAATCAACCTTCTTTTTGTGGTACTGAACCTTCTGGTAAAATTTCATAAAGATCCATTTACTTAAACTTAAGTTATTGTCTGGAAACCAAATGTGTCTTCGGACGATGACGCCGATGACGACGACATCATAGCATTATATGACGCAAAAAAATTTTTGCAGTCATATAAAAATTTGAAATGGGACATTTAATCTACTTAATGGTCCAATATCCAAAATCTAATTCCGTGGTTAGATTTAGCATAAAAAATTAAATAAAATGCTCCGCTGAGGCGCAGCTTGATACGACCGCAGAGGTCGAACCCTGAACAGTTGGGGCAAGTATGGACACAACATTCAAGCTTGATACAGCACTGAATTTGGATTGTAATTAAATATTTGACACAGCATAGGTTTCTGACACAGAATGAAAGTGGTCTAAGAACTTAAAATTTTTTAATTTACCTATTCAAACCATATCATTATTATTTGCTTTTATATATATCAGAAATAACCAATTTAAAATGGAAAATTTTAAAGAAAAAAAAGGAAAAAAAAATCCCCCTCAAATTTTTCGAACCCCCTTATGATTCATCATCCCCAAACTCAATCCCAGCCTTCCCTTTGTGGTATGGTACCTTGCAGTACAATTTCAGAGAGATCCATACACTTGAACACAAGTTATTGTCTGGAAACTAGAAAAATGCTTGTTTTTTGGCACCTTTTTGGCCCCAAATTCCTAAAAGTTTAGGGCAATTAACCCCAAACTCAAACCCAGCTTTCCCTTTGTGATATGGAACCTTGCAGTACAATTTCATAAAGATCCATACACTTACACACAAGTTATTGTCCTGAAACTACAAAAATGCTTGTTTTTTTTGCCCTTTTATGGCCCCTTATTCCTAAAATTTTGAAGGGAATTACCCCCAAAATCAATCCCAGCCTTTCCTTTGTGGTATGGTACCTTGCAGTACAATTTTAGAGAGATCCATACACTTGAACACAAGTTATTGTCTGGAAAATAGAAAAATGCTTATTTTTTTTCCCTTTTTGGCCCCTTATTCCTAAGCTTTTTGGTCAATTACCCCCAAACTCAATTCCAGCTTTCCCTTTGTGATATGGAACCTTGTAGTACAATTTCATAAAGATCCATACACTTACACACAAGTTATTGTCATGAAACTAGAAAAATGCTTGTTTTTTGCCCCTTTTTGGCCCCTAATTCCTAAAATTTGGAGGCAATTACCTCCAAAATCAATCCCAGCATTCCCTTTGTGATATGGAACCTTGTGGTACAATGTCAGAGAGATCCATACACTTACACACAACTTATGTCTGGAAGTTACAAAAATGCTTATTTTTGGCCCCTTTTTGGCCCCTAATTCCTTAACTGTTGGTACCATAACCCCCAAAATCAATCCCAACCTTCCTTTTGTGGTATTGAACCTTATGGTAAAATTTCATTGAGATCCATTCACTTAAACTAAAGTTAGAGTGCGAAAACTAATGTGTCTTCGGACGACGACGACAACGATGACGCCGGACGACGACGCCAACGTCATACCAATATACGACCACAATAATTTTTTTGCGGTCGTATAAAAACCATGAATTCAAACAAAGTTTAGTTTTGGACCCTTTGGACCTTAATATGGACTAATTTGAAAACAGGGCCCAAAATTAAAAAAAGTGAATGCACAGTTAGATTCAGAATATCATAGAACCACAAGAATTCAGTTTAGAATGAAATCAAACAAAGTCTAATTTTGGACCCTTTGGACCTCAATGTAGACCTATTTAAAAATGTCCAAATATCCAATTTAGTAATACATGGTAAAATCCTCAAACAATTCAAGACTTTGAATTAATCCTCATTGAAATTGGTTAAAAGATTTGTATTCGTTTTCAATTGAAGATTTCTTGCTGTTGTGCAATACTTAGTAAATCTGTTCACAAACTAAATATAATAAATCACACACCCTGTTTGGTGTGTATCTCCTGCCATATCAGTATTTGTTGTTTCTTTATATAGGTCAGAAATAATTTATGTTAGAACCACCTTGTGGTTAAATTTCACCGAGATCCATTCACTTATACTAAAGTTATTGTCCGGAAACTAAATGTCTTTTAACGACGACAACATGATAGCAATATACAAACGCAAATTTTTTTGGGGTCGTATAAAAATAGCCTCATTTTAAGATCTTGCTATGAATATTTAGTTATACAGGTACGAGCCACAGCTATATTTTGCTACAATTTGTCTCATAAAAAGATGTTAAATGTGGGTAAAATATCTTTCAGATTTGGCCTGGACTCATGTCTTATTTTGCCCAAAAACAGCCACTATAGGTCAGACAGGACATTGCAAACATATAACAGATGAGAGTTCCAGCAGACTGACTGGACTGGACAACTGGAAATAAATTTTAATTCATAAAGTGGAACAAGCATTCCGAGAGTATTGCATGGCAATACATAGTCCCCTACCGGTTTAAAATTCATTGTACTGGAACAAAATGCTAACTTGATCTATAATTTGTCATGGTGTAAACTATATAACAAATATCAAGTCAATATCTTCAAGCATGATGAAAAAAAGTGCGGAAAACTGATAATTTAAGTGAATTTTCTAAGTCCAAGGACCATAACTCTGCAAAAAATCACCAAACCATAACAAAGTTCAAGCTTGGTCTGTAACTTGTCATGATAAAACTATGTACCAATTATCAAATCAATATCTTCAAGCATGACGAAAAAAAGTGCAGAAAACTGATTATTTGAGTGAATTTTCTAAGTCCAAGGACCATAACTCTGCACAAAATCATCAGACCGGAACAAAATTCGAACTTGATCTGTAACTTGTAATGATAAAACAATGTACCAATTATTAAATCAATATCTTCAAGAATGACGAAAAAAAGTGCGGAAAACTGAATATTTGAGTGAATTTTCCAAGTCCTAGGACCATAACTCTGCACAAAATTATCAGACCGAAACAAAATTCGAACTTGATCTGTAACTTGTCATGATAAAACAATATACATAATATCAAATCAATATCTTCAAGCATGAAGAAAAAAAGTGTGGAAAACTGATTTGCCGGACTGACAGAAGGACAGACAGACAGACGGACGGACAGACGGACAGACAGACAGACAGACGGACGGAGTGCAAACCTAAAGTCCCCTTCGACTTCGTCGGTAGGGGACTAATTATCAGGTAATTGAAAAGATCATCTTTATGAAAGAACATTAATTGATGTCATCATGCTTGGTAAAATCAGGAAAGAAAACAGTTACCAGCAAGTGATTGCATGTTTGATCAGATTCTCTTATAATCAATCAACTGTATGATATTATAATTGATATTTAAAAACTTGTATGTCAGATTTCATGTTCTCTCACCTTAATCATTCTATCATTAGCTCCTGTTGCAAACCACTGGTTACCAGGTTCTACTGCTATACATCTTACCCATCCTAAATGTCCACTTATAACCTGAAATATGCAAAATCTTCCTTTGAACGACTTATTTGAATATCACATGCAAAATGCTACTTTTACCTGAAGCACTTTGTCTATACGTGAACGAAAATGCTGTATATGTACCAAACAGAATTTGAAGGTGTGCAGACTTACAGTGATTTTTAACTTGATTTCTGTAAAGTTGGGAATGTCATTAAGAGTGAAATAGTTGCTAATTTAAAATTAAAATAAATTTACAAAAAATGTCCCTTAGCATAAATTCAATCTTTAAGAAGATCAGAAGTACACATAGGAAAAAGGTTGATTACAAAACCTCTTAAACAGGTTTGGTCCTAGTAATCACAAAATCTATGTATAAAAATATCAAAGAATCACCTGAAATTAGCAATCTGGTCTAAAATAATTAATTCTGAACACTAGCCAGTGATTTTTAACAGAAACTCCATCTATTTAATGCATTTTTCAATTTTTTAAATAATTCTGTGCTATATCTGTATACAACAGAATTTTATTTGCCAAAAAAAAACTGTCCAGTATTTGGTGAGTCTAAATAAAAACTTAAGCTTTGATCATTTGTGTTATTACAATCAAAATATATTAATGGTCTGTTTAATATTGTTGATCTTACCAGCTAAGAAATTATTACTATGGTGCATTGTGTGATTTTTCCCATATTTACCTCAATTGAAATCCTTTTCCAGACTTCTTTCAGCTTTTTGTAATAAATGATGGTCTGCATTGTTTTTATGCTTATAGTCTGATATTTCCTATTAACAATCTATGTCAGTTACTGATGCACCATGTATATGTTAACATGTCTACACACATTATATTTCTGTCAATTATTTATACCTCACATATATAAGTGTACATGCTAAGATAATAAAGAAGACTGAAACAGTTTTGTATTAATAGCAAAGACAGATATTTCATGGAGCAGTTAGTTCCTCATATTTGGTGTCATATTTATTTGTATTTGCTTAAGTGTAACTGTTCTACTGGTAAATCTTACTCTGAATAATTTCCATGGAGGATGCCACACAGGTTTTGGCATGGTCTGTGCTTTCTTTGGCACCAATGCTTGCTGTTGACCTATTGTGACTAGAGCCTAGGAAAGATGTACAAATATAAAAGTTTTTATTGGTTTACAAAATTTTTTATGATAAAACATTTCAAACACATCATCTAAAATGAAAAACTAATCACACTTTTGAGGCCTTACAGTATTACACGGTAAGAAACATAAATTAATCATTGTCAGTATTTTTTTCAAATGCAAATCTATTTCTTTTATGCTTAAAGCTGCTGCTAATGTAGTAAATTTGTACAAAGATGATTTTCTTTATGCATCATCTTACATGCTCATTCTAGAATTCATGAATCTGTAAAACTTGACAGTCTACTGAAAATTCAGAATTTATTGCATTCATTTACCTGTGTGAATCTGGGTTACCAACAATGATGTAATAAGTTGTAGTAGGTTATTATAAGCAAATCTTAAATATTCTGCTGATATCACATCACATTTCTACATTTATAACTGGACTGCTTCTGATTCTTATTAAATTCTGACCACTTATCACCAACCAACCCACAATCTAAATTAAGTCTTTCAAGAAAGATTATACGTGTAAACTTTAGTATCGATAACTGACCCATATTCTCAATTAAGTCTTTCAAAAAATGTATATGTAACATGTAAACTTATCTGCCAACTAACCCACAATCTTAATTATACATTTAACCTTGATAACTGAAAATAATTTGACAAATAGAGAAACTGGAATGAATTCATTTAGAAGTCCCTATGATTATAGAACCAAAATACAGTTGACTCTTGTTATCTTGAAGTTGTCTGGAGCAGAGAAATGTTTCAAGATACCCGTTGTATGACTTAAACAAATACAAGAAGTTCAGCAGATCAAGTGACACAACTCTTGTTGAATAAATGGAAAGCTGAAAAATGAATCGAGCAGGATATGGATAGGGAATAGATATTCTGTTGTAAGACTGATCATGATGTATGTTAAATCATTGTTATAAAATAATAGGTTTTTTTTGTCTCTTTGGTATTTACTTGATACAACAACAATTTTTCCTTTTGTTTTCGTTGAGAAAATTATTTTCATTTTGTTTCACTGTTTCAAAAGTATTTTGTACAATTTATTTAATCACCAGATTCACATCTAACAGTTACATCAGAAGACATTCTAAAAAGGTGTTTTAAAAGAAAACAATACAACTCTTTTATAAAATAAGTTAATACTTTCTTAGATTTTAGAAAATTTAGATTACTTTTCATTATCTTTTATTTCAATTCTTTTCAAAAGAGATGCTGTTTGAGTAATTTCGAGTTACTCAATTAATCCTCACTTAAAGGACACCTAAGCTCATTAATTTCTGATTACATTTAATTGATTATAAAAAAAATTCATAATCTAGAACAGTGGTGATTAAATATGATCACATGGGTAAAAAATGTCGTAAATCAATACACTGATAAATCAAAGAACCTTAGTGAACGCGCTCACATACCCCACGTCCCCACATTGTCATTGGAGAAATAAAATAAGTGTAAGAAAAAAAAATTGTATCAGAAAAAAAAATTGAATCATAATTTCCTGTATGTTCTTATTATCTGAAAAGGTTTCATGAAATTCTGTTGTGTGGTTTGAGAGGAGTTGCGATGACAAAAGGTTGCAGTAGTATATTGGGCAAATAAGTTCAAAGGGGCGTAACTCCTGGAAAAAAAATTGAATCGTAATTTCCTGTTGATATGCACATCTACATAGTATGTCCTTATTATCTGAAAAGGTTTCATGAAATTCTGTTGTGTGGTTTGAGAGGAGTTGCGATGACAAAAGGTTGCAGTAGTATATTGTGCAAATAAGTTCAAAGGGGCGTAACTCCTGGAAAAAATTGAATCGTAATTTCCTGTCGATATGCACATCTACGTAGTATGTCCTTATTATCTGAAAAGGTTTCATGAAATTCCGGACGGACGGGTCAAAAACATTATACCCTCCGCAACTCGTTGCGTGGGGTATAATTACCAGAAATTTAATACCCTTTTCATTTGGTTGGTGACCATTGAATTAAGACTCACCAGGAGAGGAAATACATATATTTTTATAGAACAAAGTTTGCTACCACGGGAAAGGTTCAACTTACCCAAAATTTGGAGTCAACCAAGTTCTAGACAACGAGAGTTAGTTGACCATGTTAACTGTATTCGTAACTAGAGGCTCTAAAGAGCCTGCGTCCCTTACGAGGATCTATGTGCATCTTTAACAATGGCCACTCTCCAACATTGTAGACTAAAATCTCATTTTTGTGGATCGTTTCTTGCTGATCATTTATCCTGTTTACATTTTCTTTTGTTGTTTATAATTTTGGACAAAATGAAAAAAGGGTGAAAATCTTCAATCAATGGCAATTACACCTGTAAGGAATCGACTGACAATTTCGGCTACGTTCACCTATATGAAGAATTAGTCTTGCTGATCATTTTAACGGTTTACAGTTTTCTTTTTCCACCAAAAATGCAAAAATGTGTAAAATCATCACTGAAGGGCACTAACTCCCATAAAGAGTTTACCAACATATTCAGTAATGCTGAAGTACTTATAATTCTTCTCCTGCTTATCATTTCTGCTGTTTACAGTTTCTTTTTTCTATTACAGTTTTTAAGATAGACAAATAATGAAAAAATTGGTAAAAATCGTAACTCCAATAATTTAGGCAATATTGACTTATTTTTAGATCTTGTCTTGTGAATTATTTTTGCTATTTAAAAATTTCTTTTTGTCTATTTTAGTTTACAAGAAAATAGGCAAATTTTTTTTTAAAAAATGGTACAAATCAACATCTAAGGGAAATAACTCCTATCAAAAGTAAACTGATAATTTTGACTTACTAATAGATCTTGTTTTGTTGATCATTTTTGCTTCATAAAGTTTCTGTCTATCTTTTATAGTATTCAAGGTAAAAGACAAAAACGCAAAAAGTTGTTAAAAATCGTCATTTAAGGCCATGGGCAATCACATAAATAAGGTGTTGACTGATGATTACAACCATGAGAATTTATTAGTTAATCCTGTTATGCTGATTATTTTTGCTCTTCAAATTTTCTATCTTTCTTTTATATTTTTCTAGATTATATGAAAAATTTGAAAAAAAAGATAAAATGTGTCATTTAAGAGCTCATATAAGAAGTTATCTGACAGTTTGACATAAATGGAAAGAAGATAGATCTTTGTATTCTAAATATTTCTGCCCCAGATTTTCTCTATCTAAGATAATGGACAAAACTTATGCAGGTGTGATCATCTGACACATTTTTTATACTGGATACCCTAATGATGATTGTGGCTTGGTTCGAATTAGCCCAGAAGTTTCAGAGGAGAAGATTTTTTTTAAATTAACCACAGACGATAACGGATGCCAAGTGATGAGAACCTCAATTAGCCCTTCAGGTCAGGTGAGCAATAAATAGTAGACAAAATGAATCTTGCCAATTGCAAACTTACCTTTGATTGATCAGATCTATCTGAACCTCTAATATCCTGTACACCAGATCCTAATTGTGTCTCTATTTGTCTGAAATAAATATAACATAAAAATAACTGTAATATAAGATGTAACTGAATTTAATAATATGAAAACATGTTAAACCTTGCCATATTCTTTATGTGCCTACCCCAAGTCTGTAGTTCAGTGGTTGTTGTTGTTTGCAGTATCATATTTGTTTTTTTTTGTTTATTTATTTCATCATAAATCAGGCAGTTGGCTTTCTTGTTTGAATACAACAGTTTCACATTTAACTACGCATGTCTAACCTAATTAGCCAAACTGTGAAATCACATGATAATTCCCGAGAATTCATAGACTGGGGGCTTAGGGTTGATGTAAGCAGTGACCATGCAGACCTGGAAAAACAATCACCTGATCACCTGATTAAGTGTTTGCGTTTATATGTACACGAGCATCATTTGAATCAAAATATATATTGATGAGACAACTTTATTAACAATGACACATTAACAGATTGTTAAACGGACTACTGTTGTGTTGTAGGTTTTAGTAATAGACAATCTAATATGCCGCCTGACTTTGTACCTTCAACTGTCAAGAAGAAATGCTTGGATTCCCGCTGAGGTCGTTCACTTAGCAGGAAGAATATATTAGAAAAATAAGTTGGGGTCACTTCATATCCATATATTAGGTCACTGATAAATTAAGAAGTCAATTAACACCTTAGCCATGTGGAATCCTAGTTTTACCTTGTACAATCTCACCAGGTGACAATTGATAAAAATGCACCCTTTTCTACATACAGTTGTTGAAAAGGGGACGACCATTTGATATTCTGACGGAAGCCAGGAGAATTTTTTCGGATTGAATATTCATCTTCATCTGTTGCTACCTGGAAATATTATACTGTCAATCACGATTTAATGTCCCAGTTGCTACGCATTCTTTTTTTTTTTTTTTTTGCTGCGCGAAATTTATTTAACTTTTGTACACAATTATTTCCTGCATTTTGTGATGCAGATTTTTCTTTTTGATCTTGCTGTGGGCAAAATTATTTATTTTCAGCTCTTACTAGGACAGGATATTCATTTTCTAAAATACCACCACCCCCCCCCCCCCCCCCCCCCCCCCAACTGAGATATTACAGTTAATGCGACTAAGATATACCGGTATTCTAATAATTTAGGAGGGGGTCACTCAGTAATTTGATCTTATTGTATGGTAAAGCAGGATATTCAATTACTGATAATGATATCAAAAGCTAGTATCTAGAAGGACATTTTGTTAAAATTTTGTACCTGTTTTTTCATATTTTACTTATAAATGGACTCAGTTTTTCTTCCAGTTAACATTACATACAGCCTGCAGTTAAAGTTTTTAAAACATTTATTAGATTCATAAACTATCCTGGATTTTTACCAAACTTGGACAGAAGCTTCTTACAATCAAAAGATAGTATCGAGAGGAATATTTTTATTAATTCTTTTCCTCATTATTGTTGAGCCTGCGATTAACAGCAAAAGTAGGCGAGACACTGGGTTCCGCGGAACCCTTACAAATTTTTTTATATAGACGTCCTCCTAAACAAATCCTTGACTACGGTACCATGAATACTGTCTCTTTTTAAATTGAGTTTTTTTTTAAATTAATTTGAAATGTTAATATATGTATCCTTTTTTTATATAAAATTTTGAAGATTTTGGACACAAATTATACTAAGATATGCATTATATAGAACTTGAAAAAGTTGAAAATATGTAGAAAATTACTCTTGCCGTTGGCACTGAACCACTGCTTAGACAAAGTTGATCATGAGCATAGTCTGATGTTTGAAAATTGAAGATAAACCTGTATTTCTGATGCGTATTCTAAAACTGCTTTATATCTAACTTCATTATCACGACTGTCTAAAAATATCACTGAAGCAGAACTATTTGAAACAAATGTACATATCTATTACAATTTACTGGGTTTTTTTTTTTATTTTTGAACATATCACAATATATACTACATATTTGGCAAAGTATATCAGGAAAAATTCTATCATTTTTTGTTTATACTTCCATACTACCTTAGTTAAGTGGAAATTTGGATTATGCAGTAGCTACATTCTTTGATTTTTGGTGTTTTAACGTCACTTTTAAGCACTGTTTTTGGGCTATTTTGTGGCGGCCAGTTTTTATTGGTGGAGGAAGCCGGAGTGCCCGGAGAAAACCACGACCTTCGATAGGAAAACTGACAATCCTAGTCAATTAAGATTGGAGTCGAGTGCACCCGCACGAGCGGGGTTCGAAACTCACAACCTCAGTGTTGACTGGCTAGTGATTACAGTAGTAACTACTTAGACCACTTGGCCACCGAGGCCCCCAGCTACATTCTTAAATTCTTTGCAAGATTTATACTTTTGTTTAAAAAAAAATCATTTATAAATACAACTGTTATGAACTCTTTTCGTCAACAAGAAGACTTATTTTCTAGTTTGAATTGTTTTGTGTCAGGACCTTTTATAACTTACTTTCGATATGGATTTTTCTCATTGTTTGAGCCGTATGGTGACCTATGGTGGAGACATATAATACATGTATGTCTCTGGCTATGGTTGCTTTCATCTATGTCATTTGGTCTCTGGTGGATAGTTGTCTCGTTTGCAATCATACCAAATCTTCTTCTTTTAAATTTATGTTATTCTAATTTTTTTCTCAATAACATTTTAAATATTCGTATTCTGTATAAACGATCATACTACTTATTTTGAATATTATATATAAAATAAACGATTATTAAAAACTTAAATTTAAATAATCTGGGACCAATAAATTAATTTATTCGTCCCAATCATAATACAATCACATTTGTTTATATACAATTGTTTAATGTCAGCAATTGACAAAGATAAAATAGCTACCGTATTATATCTATGATGTCAGTGACAACTTCTCAAATAGCTACGTTCGCCTTAACAAACATACTGTGTACTGGTATCATCTGTTTACTTGCCTTTAGCACACACCAAGAGAGAGAGATGTGTATTTATTATTATGTTGCCAAATGTAAGGGTAAATTGGATAGCCCCTGTCATGTATGATATCGTTAATTATTCGCTGAATTTAAACTAAAACGCGCATATGATTTCGAGATCAGGGTTGATAAGTCGCTTATGTGAAACTGGTCTATTGTTTTACATTTTGTCATATCAGGACTTTTATAGCTCACTATGTGGTATGGGATTTGCTCAATGTTGAATGGTGACCTATATTTGCTTACATCCACATCATTTGGTCTCTGGTGGATAGTTGTTGAACTGGCAATCATACTACATCTGCTAAATTTTATAGAAAAATGTTTATACTGTGTGTGGAGATTGTAAACCTAATAATAATATTAAAACTTCAAAAAAGAGCAGCAAGGTTAGTTTTCGATGTAGATCCTCAAGTATACAATGATTCATCTCTAGCATATCAATTTTTTGGATACCTTTACTTTTGGCTTTGTTGTTTAGATTGGTTTCTAACTAGATAATAACTGCTATCACAGAGATATGTCTCGCCTTTTTTGTAATTTTGATAATGCAAATGTTGAAATTAAAATAGCAATACTTTAACATGTAAGTTATGCAAATATTCAAAGTCAATGAACCATGATTGAAGGTACATGGCTAAACAATCTCCATGGAATGAGATGTGCCAATGCTAATAAAATTGCAAACCAAATACCATTGACTTATTATAAGTCGTTCCCTTTAAACAAACCTAAACACAAACATTAACTTGTAAACTATGTAAAAGTTTCAAAGTCAATGAACCATGATCAGGGGTGGGGCTATATAATCTCCATGGAAACAATACTTGCAAATGCCAATAAATTTGCATACCAAATATCACTGACTTAACCCCATTAGCAGTTCATCTTAAACTGATCTAATCACAAACTAATACATGTAAAGTAAGCAAAAGTTTCAAAGTAAATAGACCATGACTGAGGGGGCGGGGCCAAATATTCTCCATGGAAATGAGATGTGCTAATGCTTATACAACTGAACACCAATTAACATTGGGCTACCACTAATGGTTCCCCTTGAACTGACCTAATCACAAACTAATACATGTTAACTTAGCAAAATTTTCAAAGTCTATAGACCATGACTAAGGTCTGCCCCGGGCGGAGCCAAATAATCTCCATGGAAATGAGATATGCCAATGCTTATACAACTGCATACTAAATATCATTGACCCACCACTAGTGGTTCCCCATAAATTTGAACTTATCACAAACTAATACATGTAAACTATGAAAAGTTTCAAAGTCAATAGACCTTGGCTGAGTGGGTGGGACCAAATAATCTCCATGGTAATGAGATGTGCCAATGCTAATACAACTGCATACCAAATATCATTGACCTACCACTAGTGGTTCACCAAGAACTAGACCTAATCACAAATTAATACATTGTTGACGCCGCCGCCACTGCTGCCGGGAACAGAATACCTATGTCTCCGTCAAGGCGAGACAAAAATAGATCAATAAGTCAATTATTAAACAACCATAACAGTCTTATGACATCAAATTAGAAATACCTGGGTTTTTTTATTATTTAACATCAAATTAGCTAGAAAACTTCAAAAGGGTAGATGAGGAAAATAACAGGTAATTGCTTGAATTAAAATCATTGCTGAAGAAATGACGGTTGAATAAAATGGGATAAACGTGAGAACTAAATGACTAAATCAACTTAGTGACAAACATGCATTGAAATAAACTTTGCACTTACCTATTTTGTTCATACAATGCCATTTCTACACTTGCATTATAACTTGGATCTGTTTGCATTGCTGTTCCATCTGTTAACTGAACACCTTAATTCAAATAATTATAAAACTCAGGAAATATCATATAAATAGTTTTCGTTTTTTATTTTATTACTTCTTAGAATATTTCCAAACCATTTTTCAAAGAGGAAGAAACATTATAAAAATGTAGGTCATTTTCTTATATATATAAATCAAGTTTATTTCTGCATAATGAAATGTGTAAATACAAATTAATTTCTACATTTACATATAATGATTAATCTTTCTGAAATACAGTGCTTTATAAAACAATATTTTAGATAATTACAAATCACAGTTTTAAGGATGATATACAGATGGATTTCTGACTAAACATACATGTCTTTTGCCATTGTGATGATCTTTCCATGAGTGTACAAATGTGTTCCCAGTGTATTTGAATAGGTCACATCCCTTTTTTTAAAAACAAAATAAAATGCATTCTGTTTCATCCATTCTTTTGTTGAAGGTAAAATGCCTTGGTTTTTTTAAACCTATAATATCCTACCAGTAATTCAAATTATACATCATTAAAGTCCACTGAGAGAATTGTGAGTACATGTAAATCATGTATGTGTATTTACCAAGTCCACTGAGAGAATTGTGAGTACATGTAAATCATGTATGTGTATTTACCAAGTCCATTGAGATAATTGTGAGTACATGTAAATCATGTATGTGTATTTACCAAGTCCACTGAGAGAATTGTGAGTACAGGTATGTGTATTTACCAAACCCACTATGTTCAGTGAAATACAGATAAATCCTATAATTATATGCATTAACCAAGTTCACATGGTTCAGTGTGAGATATATCATACACCTGTAAGTTAGGATGGGGAGTTAAAAACATGTCACATACATACCAGGTCCACTTGGGTATGGGTGGGTACCTTGTATTGAGGTCTCTTGGTTCTCTGTAAAATAAATGAAATTACTGCTTCAGACTGACAAGTTGTACTGTAAAAAGAGATAGAAGATAATAACGGGGTAATCAAAAATTATAGGTGTCAAGGTACAGGGTGTAAGCATGAACATAGATACTTTTCTGTTTAGCAGTAAATATTATAGAGACAAAGAGATACTTTTCTGTTTAGTAGTAAATATTATAGAGACAAAGAGATACTTTTCTGTTTAGTAGTAAATATTATAGAGACAAAGAGATACTTTTCTGTTTAGTAGTAAATATTATAGAGACAAAGAGATACTTTTCCAGGAGGAATATAATCCAAATAATAAATTACTGTTTGATTTTGACTTAATAAGAGTAATAGAAATAAAAACAAAAATTAAATACCACCCTCTCTCATCAATAGTTTAGAAGTCATTGTGTAAGAACCAGAAAATTTATTTTACATGGTCCAAAACAGACATTTTTAGAAATATGTCTAGGACAATTTTTTTCACTTGTTTTAATTGACATCATCAAGATATCATCAGCTGAACTAAAATTTGACACAAATTGTACATTGCTTCCGATTTGACAACGTTCAGTGATTAAAAGATACAGGTATATTATAAAACTTACGTTGCCATTGATTTGTTTCATACGGTTTGATAACACTTTGTTGCTGTTGTTTTCTTTGACCCTCTTTTGGTAAATCTTTAACCATTTTGTATTCATCAATGATCTTTACTCTTCTTTTCAGTATTTCGCTAAAAAAAGACAACAGTTGACATGAATAATTACTGCAGCAAATGTACAGGGCTTCAATGCTTATTGTCTAAAATTTTCATTTGAAGGTACTTCCTCATTCAGGTTTTCACATATTTTTTTTGCAAATTGAAAGTACATGAGTACACCAGGTCATAAAACGTTCGAGCATGATTTTCATACTCAGACTCAGAAATCAACCAATCAAAATACACATGATGACTTACCCCTTGTCATCTTTAGCTGGTGGAATTCCTTGATCTATTATTAACATGTGACACATGAAGACTTACCCCTTGTCATCTTTAGCTGGTGGAATTCCTTGATCTGTTATAAACATATGACACATGATAACTTACCCCTTGTCATCTTTAGCTGGTGGAATTCCTTGATCTGTTATAAACATGTCATGGGTTCTTTTCAATGATCTGAACACAAGTGTATGGACTGAGTGTTTCTGAACTTCCTAAAAGTACACAAATAAATATTCTCTTAATAAAACAATCTTTCAAATAGAGCAGAATATAGTTCAGAAAGGGGATACAAGAAACAAATAACATTGTAATTTTAAGAGTTATACTTGTATTACCACTAATTTAAAATTGATTACTGATTTGGACAGAAAATGAGCATTATCTTGTCCCCTACCTTTGATATGATGTGAAGGAAACTGTTGTTCAACACTCGGATCATTTTCAGAAAATCATAAAAACCCTGTAAACCTGGCCATTTATCATGTTTATTTTTGTACAACATGTTTTAGGTATAATGTGTATCAATCAATCCCCATGATGGCATTCATTTGTTCTGCATCGGCTAGCTATGATCATATCCATATCAGTTACCGTTGCACAGGCTTTTATAAACTTCAAATAGAAGATACTTGTTTTAAGAATATAATAAAATAAAATGTAAATGATACTGCCTTTTCAATATCCCACACTGAATCAAAAGATTGGGGAAGATACCCATAATTGAGTATTATCCCCATTTATGTTAAATACCCAAAATCAAGTTAAGTAAAAGTAGTTAAAAATTATAATTTGCATTTAATTGATAGCTGTCATGGCACACATACAATGTCCTCATGACAAGAGTAAAGACACTTTCCATTAAGACCAAGGTTTATATAAAAACTAAATAAAAGTGAAAGGCCTCCAAAAATTCTCCCCTTTCACAATGTTTTAAGGTCTTTAATTTTATCCAGATGATTTTTCGGTCCGCTTCATTTATTCCAGTTCAACAAATTCCTGTAAGCCTTATCACTTGACCAAATAAAATGACAGCTAAAAGAAAAATTAGTGGAAATTGGTGAATGAAAGATAGAGACTGGGAGACCATGGTACATATTTTCTGTTATTGAGGTTTCAGACATGGTATATAATGTGACATAAGTAACATTTTTAAAAATCTATGACAATGAAGTCAAGGTCAGATAAATTGTGTCAGTTCTTTTTATACACCAAATATAGTTGAGCTATTGTGTATGCTAATTGAATAAAATGCTCCGCTGGGGTGCAGCTTGATACGACCACAGAGGTCGAACCCTGAACAGTTGGGGCAAGTATGGACACAACATTCAAGCTTGATACAGCACTGAATTTGGATTGTAATTATATATTTGACACAGTATAGGTTTCTGACACAGAATGAATGTGGTCTAAGAACTTAAAAATTTTTAATTTACCTATTCAAACCATATCATCATTATTTGCTTTTATATATAAATCAGAAATAACCAATTTAAAATGGAAAATTTAAAAAAAAAAAAAAGGAAACCCCTCCCCCCCCCAAATTTTTTGAACCCCCTTATGATTCATCACCCCCAAACTTAATCCCAGCCTTCCCTTTGTGGTATGGTACCTTGCAGTACAATTTCAGAGAGATCCATACACTTGAACACAAGTTATTGTCTGGAAACTAGAAAAATGCTTGTTTTTTTGCCCCTTTTTGGCCCCAAATTCCTAAACGTTTAGGGCAATTACCCCAAAACTCAAACCCAGCTTTCCCTTTGAAATATGGAACCTTGCAGTACAATTTCATAAAGATCCATACACTTACACACAAGTTATTGTCCTGAAACTAGAAAAATGCTTGTTTTTTTGCCCCTTTATGGCCCTTAATTCCTAAAATTTTGAGGGAATTACCCCCCAAAATCAATCCCAGCCTTTCCTTTGTGTTATGGTACCTTGCAGTACAATTTTAGAGAGATCCATACACTTGAACACAAGTTATTGTCTGGAAACTAGAAAAATGCTTATATTTGGCCCCTTTTTGGCCCCTTATTCCTAAACGTTTTGGGCAATTACCCCCAAACTCAATTCCAGCTTTCCCTTTGTGGTATGGAACCTTGTAGTACAATTTAATAAAGATCCATACACTTGCACACAAGTTATTGTCATGAAACTAGAAAAATGCTTGTTTTTTGTCCCTTTTTGGCCCCTAATTCCTAAAACTTGGAGGCAATTACCCCCAAAATCAATCCTAGCATTCTCTTTGTGATATGGAACCTTGTGGTACAATGTCAGAGAGATCCATACACTTACACACAAGTTATTGTCATGAAACTAGAAAAAAGCTTGTTTTTTATAATAATAATAATAATAATAAATTTTATAATAATAAATTCTTTATTTAAAGAGGGTAACTCAATTAGAAGTAGTCTAATTTTCATTGAGGCCCTCAAACAAAATACATGTATACAGTTAACATTCATACATTCGATTCATACATTAAAATACAATATACATTGTATATTACTAGTATATACACAATTCAATCATTCAAACATACAAATGGCAATAAATGGCAATAATTGGTAAAGTTTTGATTAAATTTTCTTATTCTTACAATAAAAGAAAGAAAACAAATTATTCGACTTGCATAGAATTTTCAAGAAAATGATTATAACAATGTTTCTTAAATAATTCCACATTTCGACAATTTTTTATTTTGAGTGGTAAATTATTCCATACCTTTGTTGCAGAATAAAGAAAAAAATTGTGTTTGGTCTTGGAACAAATAGATCATTATTAGAGACAGATCGTAAGTAATTTAGTTGTGGTGTTGCACATCATTAATATTTAGCATTGTTAAGTAATCAGGTGTTAGTCCATTTACAATTTTATACATTAGAATTGATTGTTGGTATTTTATTCTTTTTGTAAAAGATAGCCATTTTAAAGATGAAAACATAAAATTAGATGGAACAGAAATATCGCATTCAAGTATAATTCTTGCTACTCTTTTTTGAAGTTTTATGATTCTATCTGAATCTTTTTGTAATAAATTTCCCCAAACTGAACTACAATATTCTATATATGGTAGAATATATGCATTATAAAATAGTTGTCTTGTGTGTATAGGCAAATATACTTTAATTTTAAACAAAAGTGATATTTTAGATGAGATAATCTTGCATATACGATCAACATGATCCTCCCAGCTTAAACTTTCATCAATGTCAATTCCAAGTAATTTGAAAGAATGGACATTTTCAATACATGTTTCATTGACGGTAATACATAATTCTGAAAGTTGTGAAAGTTTTTGTTTTGAACCCAATTTCATACACTTTGTTTTTTGTGCATTAATTTTCATACTGTTATTGTTACACCAAGATTGTATAGCATTTAAATCATTTTGCAATATGCTGTTTATTTTTTCAATGTTTTTATTATGAAAATGCAATGTTGAATCATCAGCATATAAATCCATGTCAGATTGTTTAACATGAAGTGGTAAATCATTTATATAAATTAAAAATAACAGAGGACCTAAAGTAGAAATAAAATAGTTTTTTGTCCCTTTTTGGCCCCTAATTCCTAAAATTCAATCCCAGCATTCCCTTTGTGATATGAAACCTTGTGGTACAATGTCAGAGAGATCCATACACGAACACACAAGTTATGTCTGGAAGTTACAAAAATGCTTATTTTTGGCTCCTTTTTGGCCCCTAATTCCTTAACTGTTGGTACCATAACCCCCAAAATCAATCCCCACCTTCCTTTTGAGGTATTGAACCTTATGGTAAAATGTCATAGAGATCCATTCACTTAAACTAAAGTTAGAGTGTGAAAACCAATGTGTCTTCGGACGGCGACGCCAACGTCATACCAATATACGACCACAATTTTGCGGTCGTATAAAAACAGATCAAAACACAAAAACTTGATATTGAAATGAACCATAAATATGAGGCCAAGGTCAGATGATAACTGCCAGACAGACATGTGCACCTTACAATTATTCCATACCCCAAATATAGCTTACCTATTGCTATTTGTATTGAAAAACAGACCAAAACACAAAAACTTAACATTGGCCATTGAACCATAAAAATGAGGTCAAGGTCAGATGATACCTGCAAGACAGACTTGTACACCTTATAATCTTTCCATATGATACACCAAATATAGTTGACCTATTGCTTATAGTACTTAAAAACAGACCAACACACAAAACTTAACATTGACCAATGAACCATGGAAATGAGGTCAAGGTCGGATGAAAACTGCCAGACTGACATGTACCCATTACAATTATTCCATACACCAAATATAGTTGATCTACTGCTTAGTATTTGAGAAACGGATCTAATCACGTTTTTTAACCTTGATCATTGATCCATTAAATGAGGTTGAGGTCAGGTGAACTCTGTCTGACAGACATGAAAATCAATGCTTTAACCTCTTTTCTAAAGAAAATAAATCGTTTATTTCTATGAATTTCTTTACTTTTAAATGAAAACTTGTTGCTGTTTCATCGACTTGGTAAAAATTGATTATTGCTGACGACGAAAGCGACTGAAAGCGAGTATCGTGAACAACAGGGCGACTAGATTACGCTTTTGACGGTCGGGCAAAGCCAAGTGACGGACGGGTAAGCGACTTTGTCGCCCCAGTCGCCTGCTAGCGTGAGCCCTGCCCACAATATACAATAGACAAAAATGTTTTTTGAAGATAAAGGGTAATAACTAAATTAATTAAAACTCGAAAAGTACTGTGCCTTTTATAGTCTGAGAAACATTTTGCTCTGGAGGTCAACCTTTTTGGTTAATTAAGGAATATCTTGAACTATGCATGAAGTATACTTTTCATCGCTTGGAAAACACTTGATTAGCAGATGCCTTTAATAGTTTTGATACAAGACCAGTGGATGAGAAAGTCAAGTTCTGTAATCAAACCTCCAGAACATGTCATGAAGTGGGACCTCCCAGCTTTTTTGTAACCTTCCTACATTTGTATGTATAACTTAGGTTTACTTAGGTTCTGTTACTGATACAAAAACACTGGGTTCCTCTTCGTCAGTCTACATCTAATTCTCCATTTCTGATTATTACCAGATTAATTGCACAGGACTTTGATTAAGGAAAATCAAACAGGTAGTCGTAGATTTGTCTTACCAAGGGAAATCACCATTACTAAGAAAGGGATAATCTTAGTTTTAAAAATGTCAAGATTTTGACAGGGCTTTTTTTCTCATGAATTTAAGTTCAAAGTTGAAATTTTGACTTCTTCATTTATATACAAGAGAGGCTTCCGGTCAAGATTTTGCCCTTTTTGTCTAATGTATTGCTATTATTTTTATACCATATTATTTTTTATTAAATTGTCTATAGGAATCATTTTTAGATTTTTACCAGGTTATATGTTTTTCCATGAATTTAAGTTTAAAGATTCGAAATTGGATTGCCAGAGTCACGTTTAACAAGGCTTTCGGTCAACTTTTTGGTAATATTAAATATCAAAATCTTAAAATTTCTATTTTAACTTATAGAATATCATATAAGCTTTCAAAATCCGTTTCAAGCGTTAATTTATCTTAAGCAGTTCCAGATAAATCACTTATAATATATCAATTTTACCCTTCCGTATTTTCCCACGTCCGCGTTTTAGACCTTCCCAGTATGTTTGGATATAAGAACTATCTGATAATTGCCACAGGTTTATTTGGTGTTATTTTTGTTGCAAAGCTTAATCATTTTATGATGGTATATTTTTTGTCTGGAAATTTGCTACACATATTTCAACCAAATTGTAAAACAATATTACACTGGTTCACATCAGGAGAAAACAAACACCAAATTTATGAAGACAAAAATTGTCAAAATTAATACAATACACCTAATCGCTATTTATTCCATTCCGGATAAGCTCTAAAATTACACAACTTTTTCATCCAGTTGACGCTATCTGGGACCCTGTTTAAACAATGCACCATGCATGATACTTTTTAATGAGACCTGTTTAAAACATCGTAAATACTTTAAACACAATATTTTTTTGACTTTAATTTGAGTTTGGAAAAAGTGGATCATAATCTATCAAAGTTTCCTATTGATCGCTTTCTAAATTTTTCCCTCCCTCAGCTCGTTACTGATGACCTTTGTTTGCGGCCTGTTGACCCAAACAGGAAGTTGTCTAAATGACTGTTTTTTCCGGATTGGACTAAATAGCGATAAGGTGTATGCATTATATTAAACCAGGTTTAATGAATTAATCCACCATTTTCTACATAAGGAAATATATATGACAGTTGTTTTCCATTCGTTTGATGTGTTTGAGCTTTTGATTTTGCCATTTGATAAAGGACTTTCCGTTTTGAATTTATCTTGGAGTTCGGAATTTTTGTTAATTTTTACTTTTTATAAATATTCTTCAAGTTTCAACACAAGGTTTGTTAAAATCCGACCATTAATTCATTATATATGATTATAGGTGGCGAATACTTATGGTCATTCACTACATATAATATTCTCTATTTATATTACCTCTACCATGCTGAAATTGTTGAAAAGAAAATAACCAAGAAACGTTGTTTGCACGGTTTGTCAAATCGCCCCACTGGCAAATCGCCCCACACAAAATCGCCCCACTTTTTCACCAACTCGCCCCACTTTTAAAAAAATCGCCCCAAACTGGTTTACCAACTCGCCCCACTTTTTAAAAAATCGCCACACTTGTGAAAAGGGTTAAATCCCATTAATTTTTCTCCTGCCAACTCGCCCCACTTAATGAAAAAAGGTAAAATCTAGATGAATATGTAATTTTCAGCTCTGCCAACTCGCCCCGCTTAAAAACGAAAATTTATTAAATTATTTGTATTGACTATGAGGTGGCATGACTCAATTCATCAGGACTTTTTCTATTTTTCATAAGTGGGGCGAGTTGGCAAGACTCAATTTATCAAAATGACTAGTGTAAAACCATTCAAACGGGAAAAGCATGTTTATCTAAGGTTTTCATAGGTATTGATATTATTTATGAGTGGGACAGGAACATAGATATACAACGGGATTGCATCTTTTGCATCAAGTTGGTCGAGTTGGCATTACTAAATTCATCAGGATTTATCTATTTTTCACAAGTGGGTTTAGTTGACAGACCTTAATACTTATTTCAGAGGGATTTTTATCCTTTTTCAAAAGTGGGGCGAGTTGGTAAACAAAAGTGGGCGATTTTTCAGAAAGTGGGGCGAGTTGGTGAAAAAGTGGGGCGATTAGGTGTGGGGCGATTTGCCAGAGGGGCGATTTGTCATAGATTCTAAGGGGAGATAATTGTTGAATAGTAAATATTTGCCGGCAGCTAAAAGTCTAGTGGGCTTCATTTTTATTCGAATCATATAAGAATAACATAAAACATAACCACGCACCCTTAATAATAAACAAACATAACAACACACTCTAAATAATAAACAAACGTAACAATACAGCCTAAATAATATACAAACATACAAACGCATCCTAAATAATAAACTGAGACTACTAAAACACTAGTCTCAGTAATAAACAAACATAACAACGCACCCTGAATAATAAACTGGCAAACTTAACAACGCACGAAGCCGTTTGGAAAATGTATTCCTCACTTTTAAAAAATCATTAAAATTAACAAAAAATAATTTCAAAGAATAGCCTACATCAGCATCAACATACTATGGGTCAGAAGCACTTTTTGAAGCACTTTTAACAAAAGTGACTGTTCCGTGCAGTTATGAATAACAAGGTTCGGTGCAGTTATGAATAAAAAAATTACATATGTCACTGGATTTAATGAGAATCAAATGTTTAAGGAATGACTGTAATATTTTTTCTGTCAATGAAGAAATAACATAAAAAATGCGGTGCACACTGAATATGATGCGAAGCGGGTTATTTAAAGTGGGCATCACATAATTTTATGAGGTTATTTCGAATAGAGAAAAAAATATTACGTAAATCATGAAAAAACATTGATGACGTCACGATCACATGACAAAATTATATTTATGAGCTGATAGACAAAAAACTTTCAGCAAATCAGAAGACGCGTTACATCCAAAATTAAATTATCAAGAAATATTTTTGTTTTGCTGTGTGATAATGTGTTCATATTCTTCATTTATACACAACGAACACGAAAATAACAGTTTGTCCTATTGTCGTCCAATAATCCAAGTATTTAGAATTTAAGCCACTTTGTTACGTTCAGTGCCTTTCATGAAAATTGGTGTAGCGAATAATCAAAACTATGTGTTATTTGTACATTTTTAGTGAATCGAATCGTCTGTTAATCCAAAATTTCATGTTTTTTGGTAAATTTACTGCACTTTCTTTTACTAAATTGACCCCACAGTCGAGAAACATGCGGATTGATACTTGTAAACTTTAGAATTTTGTTTGGTGATATCTGGACTATTATGACGTCAATATATTAAAGCAGAGTCTGCGATGTAAACAGTGTGCGATTCTTTACATGGCTTGAAACTACATCTGTTTTTAAAATTAAATAATCTGACAATTGATAAAAATAATATCTACGGAACTGATTTATAAATAAATTGCATTGAGAGTATGTTTATTTGTTTATTGTGTTTAAAATGTCTAGATCATTACGGTTTGCCATTTAAATCTCTACATTCAACAACAATGACGCTTTCTTTGACCTTCATTATTCTAATCATAACTCCTTTAGTAATTCACATAATTCAAAATTAACAATATAAATAATTTAAAGTTTATTTTATTTCGTGAAATCACCGAAAATATAACATACGCTTGATCTTCTGTAACGATTTTTCACTGGTCAAGGCTGAAATATTTTTAAACAACCAATGAAAACACGTTTGTTAGCAGTATGCTGAATGTCCGAATAAACAACAGAAAAAAATGGACCAAAGTAATGACCATCGTTCAAGTGTTATGAGTTTTGGCCGAGTTTAGTATTTGAAAGCGGTATTGATTATGCTGATTTTAGCATATAACGTCCGTCCGTGCGTCCGTCTTAAACTTGCTGTGTCATTACTGGAGAATACCTGTATAGCATATTTGTATTATATAGGGAAGCAGTATATCATCAGGACCCCAACGACATTCAGCGGGTACCATATAGTAATCACTCTGTTCTGTTTGTCTGTCCTTCCATCCATGTCCGTCCACTTTTTATATCGTACGATAACTCAGGTTTGCTTTGACCAATTTATTCAAATAAAATTTACACACAACATTTGTTACCACTAGAAGAAGTTCCCTTTCGATTTTGAGCATTTTCGATTATTAGTTTTCGAGGTATTGGGCTTGGGCAAGTGGGGCTCTTCATCGGACGGTGTGAGACGTTTGCAACGACATTATATATACACCACACTGCCTTTGGGTGCATGCACAGACATATAGAGCACACTTATTTTCGTAAACTTTACATTTCAGTTTATGTGATACGAAGAACAGAAAATTCGAAGCAATTTGGCTCAAAGAGTTCCACTGGATGCGGTACTCGATATCCACAGACTCCGTTTTCTGCCAAATATTGTTTCCTATTTGCAATTGTTGTTGCAGAACATAATTATATTTTGCTCAAAAGTCGCCTTGAAAAGTTATCAGTTTACAGAAACCCGATTTTGATTTGATAGAAGCTTTGACAGAAGCTAAGATGGTAATTCAAAGGCTTTCCGATGAAAGTGGTGATGATACAGGTTGGGAGTCTTTGTTTAAAAGAGCAACATATATGGCAGCAGAACACGACATTCTAAGCCATCAGTTCCTCGTATCGCTGGACGTCAACGACACAGAGCTAACCATCCGTGACCCGTCAGACTATTGGAAAGTTTCGCTGTACTTCGTATTTCTCGACCATGCACTTGGTTGCTGAGATTACATTTAGCGGTTAATCAGCTACAAGGAACGTTTCTTTGCATCCTATTTCATTTCGGCCAAGTTAGGGAACTTGAATGACTCCTGAAAAAGCGGACCGTTGAAAATCTACAACGCGTACCGTTCGGATTTAGGTGAAAAAACAGAATTTGACGATGTCAAGACTGATTAGGTAACAATTAAAATATATAGCGGTGGCACTATATATATTTTAATTGTACTTAATATCTAATCAAGATCAACCCACTACACATTAGAAGTTTGTTTTTCTCTAATTAATATTTTTTTCAAATTTAATTATTTTCAAAAGTTGACTTGTTACTCATGAACATAAGATTTCTGTGAGGTAATTTTAAGTCCCAGGATATCGCGAGAATGCAGGATTTTGCACAGTTTGAGAAAATTACTCAAAATTTGAAATGGCTAAAGCCTTATTTGACTTCAATGCTGCAAAGTGTTTTTGAGGGCAAGGCCGCTGAAATTTACTCAGCACTTTCAACAGAAAAAAGTTCTGATTATGACACGGTAAAACAGGAAGTTTTGAAAGCTTATGAGCTAGTGCCAGAATCATATAGACAGAAACTTAGGTCTTACAAAAAGTTTGAATCACAAACCTATGTTGAACTTGATAGGGAAAAAGAAGATCAATTTGATAAATGGCTTACGTCAAAGAAAAAAGATAACAATTTAAACTTGAAAAAAATAAGACAAGTAATGTTATTAGAAGAGTTCAAGCAGGGTGTTCATTTAGACTTAATAGTTATCAAAGGTACCAGGATTATAAACAATTTAAAACACATTAAGATGACAAAACTATTGAGACATTGCAAGATGCTGCTGTTGTTTCCGATAATTATACCCTTTCACATAAAAGAAGTTTCAAAGGTAAAAATTTTTATACTTCGAGTGGAAATTACAAAAATCAAAGTACTAAGCGTACTGAGAGTAAGCCTGATGCACAGAATAAGAGTCAATCTAGTTATAATATGTCTAGTCCAAAATCTGATCCGTTTGAGAAGAAGTCACTAGCTTGTGCTTATTGTAAGAAAAATGGTCACCTGATGGCTGATTGTTTTAGACTCCAGAAGACGAATGAAAGAGATAATTGAACCCAAGTCCCGTGCTTATACGACACCCCTTGTTACCAATAAGTTTGAATGTCCTGCGAGTCAGGCTTTTAAGTCCAGTTTTTGTGATAACATGTGATTATAAACCCTTTATGTCTGATAGGTTTGTTTCTATTGTTGATAATTCAACTCTTCAGCCTATTAAGATTTTACGGGACACTGGAGCTTCTCAGACGTTGTTGTTAGAAGGTATGTTGCCTTTGTCCGAGGAGACTTCTGTTGGTGCCTCCGTTTTGTTACAAGGTGTGGAGTTAGGTTGTATAGATGTTCCCCTCCATCGTATTTATTTGAAGACAGATTTGAATACTCGACCAGTTGTTGTGGGTGTTCGTCCTAATCTCCCTGTTGAGGGTGTTTCATTATTGCTAGGAAATGATCTAGCTAGCTGCACCAATTTTTACCAGTGAACCGGTGGTGGATGTTAAATCACCCGAAGATGATGCTGAACTGTATCCAGCTTGTGTTGTTACTAGGGCAATTGCAAGAAAACAACAAAATGAGGATTTACAAGAAGACCAGTATGATTATATGGACCTTTCTGACACTTTCCTTTCCCACATTGACGGTTCCTGTGGCATAGAAAAGGCAAAAACAAGACCACCTTGTACTAACAAGCATGTAATTATGCCATGGCCAGACTTGAACAGCCATTCATTAGATAGAAGAAAATTTGTGGAGGAACAAAATAAAGACTCTGAGGTTCTTCAGCTCCGCAAGTGGGCTCAACCACAGGAAGAAGCAGACAATGTGGCCGAATGTTACTACCATCAAGACGGCATTTTAATGAGGACGTTGAGGCCCCCTGATGCTATCCCAGAGGAGGAATGGAGTGTGGTTTACCAAGTGGTGGTGCCTAAAGTCTATAGGCAAGACATTATTGGTCTTGCCCATGACACCCCTTTGGCTGGACATTTAGGTATAAGGAAGACTTGCCTTAAGATCTTGCAGCATTTCGACTGGCCCAGACTTAGAAAAGATGTCACAGAATACTGCAAATCATGCCATATATGCCAGGTTGTTGGTAAGCCTAACCAGAAAATACCGCCAGCACCACTTCTGCCAATGAAATCACTTAGTTGTGAATGACCTCATCTTGCTGCTTAGAACATATGGCTTAGATTTTTACACGAGAATTCATAAAAATGTGATAACTAGAAATGTTATTTGCTAACATAAAAAGAACTTGTAAGTCTCAGAATTTGATCAATGTAAGCTGTATACATTGTGTGTTTGAGCCAACGGCTTAGATTATAGTAGACTTTGAGAAATGAATAAATGGAAAAGAGAAGAATAGAAAGGACACAAAAACAAAATTATGGGGGAATAGATATAGGAAGATGTGGTATGAGTGCCAATGAAACAACTCTCCATCCAAGTTACAATTTATAAAAGTAAACCATTATAGGTCAAGGTACGGCCTTCAACACGGAGCATTGGCTCACACCGAACAGCAAGCTATAAAGGGCCCCAAAAAATTACTAGTGTAAAACCATTCAAACGGAAAAACCAACGGTCTAATCTATATAAAAACGAGAAACGAGAAACACGTATGAACTACATAAACAGACGACAAAACTAAAAAAAAGGCTACTGTAATCAGATTCCTGACTAAGGACAGGTGCAAACATTTGCAGCGGGATTAAACGTTTTAATGGTACCAAACCTTCTCCCTTTTCTGAAACAATAGTATAACATCACAACATAGAAAAACACACTATAAAATATCAATTGGAAGGCTTAACTCAATCAAAAAACGTAAATTAACACACAATGTTGACCTGTGACACCTGAATGCAAATACACAGTTAATAAAAAGTTACAAGGGATAAATAATTAAAGTCAAAAGTAAATAAACAGGTTTAAACAAAGTTAAAGTATGATATCACTGTGAAATGTCAAACAATTTTTAGAAAATCATCACTTTTGAAGAAGCCTGCGTCATATTATACACAGGTAAATGAAAATAATTTTGTTGTTAAGTATACCTCTTCTTCTGTGTGTATAAAATCTTCCGTTTAGGAATACCAAGAAATTTCTTTAAAGGGGCACTAGCTACGAGATATAAAAAAATTTATAAAATATGATTTTTTTTTGTTCAATCATTAGTGAAAGTGGAATGGTGAAATAATACTTCGCTTTTAGCAGCCAGTATTGTCTAATTTTGTCAAAATAAGCAAATAAATATTGATGATGAATTATTCACTTGCAAGTGAATAATTCGACCTCATTGAATCCGTATTCATGTGAACTTCACTTTAACCCCTTAGATAGAGTTGGATAACGCATGAATTGTGTGCATGTTTGATTATTTAAAGGAAAAAAATGTCAACATTGAAAGTAAACAAAGGTAATTCATTTAATTGACTGATTCGATCCTTAAAAAAATCTTTCTTATACAGGTAAAAATGATGATTAACATATATTTTTAATCTATAAATGAAATTAAATAGACCTAGAAGAATCCAATTGCACGAGTTGCGCTATCTATTTATATCTTTATTTATGTTTATATCTCTTATATGGGCATCGGTGGTTTTCGGGAGGTCAACTCGACAGTTAATTAGATGGCGTCTAGACTAAAATACACACAAAACGAAGCTACATATTATCGACCCTATGCCCTGTAAATTGTTTATTTTAGATTTTTTTTATAATTTGGATAAATGTTTTACATTGTTATATAACAAATATGAGAATTTGAGTCAAATCGGTGAACATGAATTTGACAGCTAGTGCCCCTTTAATATCAATAAAACTAATCTAACACTTGGTACATATGGGGTGAATATCAACAATAAAACTATACAATTAGTGCTAGATAAAACTTCCTGTACAGGTCCAAGAACAGCATTTAAGAAAAAATGAAATAATTTTGATGAAGTATAGGTTTTATCCTGGGTTGGGAACCTTTTTCGTTTGTAACTACTGATAAATATATTAACACATTTACTTCTCGTGTTTCTTCTTACTCTCTTTAATAAAATATCAATACTTATTCCAGAACAGGGCATCGTTTCACAAAAATTCGTACGATAATCTTAAATCTTACGTCGGTCGTACGTCTAACCGTAAGATTTGACCGTTTCATAAAAAAATCGTTGGCTTGCCGGAAAGTACAAATGTGTATGCAGAATCCAAGGTTTGTAACGTCCAATGTTCGTAATCACTACAATTCTCATTAACAATTTGATAAAAATTTCTGAAGTTAAATTTGCTTTTGAAATTATAGTCAGTTATAAGATTGCATATCTGTAAACAAAATCGTTTTTACAGGCAAAATTGGCGTCCACTTACTTAGAGCCGACAAAATTGGCTTCCACTTACTTAGAGCCGGCAAAATAGCCACTCCTAAATTGTTCATTTACTATTTTGAGAACCCCCAGTTTTTGGTATGGTTCGTGTTGCTCAGTCTTTAGTTTTCCATGGTGTGTTTTGTGAACTGCATTTGTTTGTCTGTTAGTTTCAATGTTTAAAAAAATCGTACTTTGAGCATCTTATTCGTGATTTCAAGCTTGGCTTGAATAATAAACTAATAATCTTATGTGTATTTATTCCCCCCTCATTTCCACTTATCACGTCTTGAAAATGAATCCAATCTTATTAATTTATGACGAAGAATACCTACTCTAATTTTTTTGATAAATTTGCTTAACTTTTTTACTAAATAAATGTGCAAATATCCCCAATTTTCAACCTCAATTTTCTCGAAAACTAGCACGGTGATCTATGTTTTATATGGTGATTTGTTTACAACTCGCCTAGGCCTACAACATATTCAAAAATTATAAAAATGACAATACAACGTGAAACTGTCAGTTTCAGAGAATTTTTTGTTTGAATCAGAGTGATTCTTTACAAAGTAGGATTTATCCCTCCCCAAGACAAGATACTTGTATCTACGTTCGCCATTCTTTTTAATGAAACAAAGTAATACCAACTCCCTCAATTTGTCTTTTAGTTTGGAATTGGGAATACTTGTGTAAAGTGTAGAAAAGTCAAATGTTTTAATACTATTGCAAGATGAGAGAGTAACATGTCTCTAAAAACTTGGGTTCCCCCTTATGGCCCAAGAGTAAATCTGATTATCACATTAGGTCATAATTTATTTAAAGCCGCACTTGGAAAACGATCGAATCCTTGGGCAATTAATAATGTAACATGTCTCCAAAAACTTGGGTTCCCCTTTTTGGCCCAAGAGTTAAATAAAAATGTCAAACCATTTTCTAATCAATTAAATCAGCGCATTTTATATCAACACTTATAAGTGAGCCAAAGCTCCGCGTGTTGAAGGCCGTACTTTGGCCTATAATTGTTAACTTTTTATACATTGTGACTTGGATGGCCGTGAGAGTTGTCTCATTGACACTCATACCACATCATCTTATTCATATTTGCAAGATCAACACGCCAATATTTTGTATTCTGAAAAAATTAGATTTTCCCGTTATATTTCAAAGATAGAACTTACACCATATGTTGATCAACTTACTTAATTTCAAGTCTGATCGTTCTAATATAGCTAAAATGAGATTAAGTGCTCATCATCCCTTGAAATAGAAAGAGTGAGATATAACAGAACGATAAGAAATGAACGATTTTGTAAAGTGTGTATATACAACAAAATTGAAGATGAAAATCACTTTATATTGAATATCAAAAGGAAAGAGAAATAAATGCTTGTGACAAAATGGTCAGTCTAAATTTTACCAAAATTTTAGAAATATACATAATGATAGAATAAAGTAAAAACTATTGTTATACAGTGGTTCAGTAAAAATATCAAAGATATGTTCAAATTACCGATTTCTGAATAGTTAAAAGTTAGATATAATGTTTTACAAAACCACAGATAATATCAATTATCAATATCCTGTATAGAAATTAAGGTATTGATTATTTAGTTGTTTTATTTTTTTTTATGTATTTCCTACAATGTACTAAATCTTATTTTATGTATTTCTATACAATGTACTAAATCAAGTACTGAATAAATGAATAATCTCATTAGTGAAAACTTTCTGAGAGTCTAAATTGAGCCTTTACCAATTGCAGAGACATATAAAACAATTGTATTATATGTCTCTGCCAATTGTTATAATTGCGTTTGTGCTAATAAAATATTGTCTTTTGTCTATTGTCTACTACGGTTCTGGGAACAGTATATCAATATATATGTTCCTGTACGGTTGCAATCTTTCTTGCATTGCTATCCTGCACTTTGATTACTGTCCGATATAATTTTGTGTGCATTTTCGGTTATAGTCATAATTCAAATAGGTTCTGTATTTGAATAATCTAACCGATGTGGACGCAACATATAATCGCGCGAGATACGACTGCTGCTGTAAACAAATTCAACCTTTACCAGTCAGTTCCACTGAAAAAAACAAAAAAAGTATGGATATTTTTACCTAGCAAGTGTTATACTAAGTCCGGGCTCGTACTTACACACGTCACAGCACCCCAATTGCACCGAATACCCAATTTACACATATTTTGCACGAAAAGTAGCGGAAATCTTTTAACTTAAGTATAATTTCTTACTCTTAGACATAATTGTCATAAAAGCTTTATTTATAGAGTCGGTAGAAGCAATTCAATTACAAACATGAGCTCTTAAGAGCTTTTAAAGCCGACAGAACAAAAGCACAACAAACTTAACATACAGTATAAATGTCCGGTAATTCCGCCCACTCCCATTTACTTTCGTAATTGTCACGTCTGTGAATATTTCGTCTGCTATTTTATTCATAAGAACAGGGCCTAATCTAGGATTTTGGAAAAGGAGAAGTGACTTCTCCTTCCATGAGAGAGAAGGGAGAAGTGGTCAATTTCTTAGAGAAGTGAGATTCCATACACCTAATCGCTATTTATTCCATTCCGGATAAGTTCTAAAATTACACAACTTTTTCATCCAGTTGACGCTATCTGGGACCCTGTTTAAACAATGCACCATGCATGATACTTTTTAATGAGACCTGTTTAAAACATCGTAAATACTTCAAACACAATATTTTTTTGACTATAATTTGAGTTTGGAAAAAGTGGATCATAATCTATCAAAGTTTCCTATTGATCGCTTTCTAAATTTTTCCCTCCCTCAGCTCGCTACTGATGACCTTTGTTTGCGGCCTGTTGACCCAAACAGGAAGTTGTCTAAATGACTGTTTTTTCCGGATTGGACTAAATAGCGATAAGGTGTATTACTGTTTGGGTTGCATAGTGTTCTCGTGCTTATCACTAAGGAAATTGTTTTATATGCAATAAAAAATATACTTGCAGTTTTTTTTATGTTATTGTACAAAATGTATATCATGTATATAGAAAGTTCTTAATAAAAAGGTTTAGACAATATAGACTATAGTTGTTATTTATTCATTGATACCATTTGTACTGTCAACTTGAATTTAAGTTTAAATAAAATTTGTTGCTTGGGACATGAGGGAGTAGCCTAGTAATATTATGATGCATTAAATTCATGTGCATCTGCCTTAATTTATTTTTAAATGTCCAGAAAAATATGACTCCCAGTTTACCTGATGAATTTCATATGGCTGGGAATTTGATCATTTATATCACCACTTGTCATTATTTTGTAAAACTTTATTGAATGTCCAGGACATCATGTTACATGTACATGTAGTTGTAAATTGAGATTCTCGTTAAAGATTGTAAGCCTATAAATGAAAATATCAGTCAATCATATATTAATTTACCGATAAAGAGCCAATTTCTATAATTTTTTTAAAGATATCTTCCCGATCGTTGTGAAAAAAAAATCCACTGCTGATCACAGCTAGTCGAGTGTCATACGTTTGCAATCACATTTATCCATCAGCTGTCTTTCTACCTTTTATATTTCAATTTTTATTCAATGAATATAATAAATCTACCATTAATTCCCACCCTTAACCCACCCAATAGTACAATTTGATCGACTCGTAATCAATAAAAATAAAACAAATCAGCTGAGTGATTAGCAACATCCTCACTGACCTCAGATAAAAATCATCGTAAAATGATAACTTTAACAGACTGTCAGTTTTCCGTTGGAATAGTTTTGAATGTTATATCCGAGGATGTTCAAAGTCGCCGTTGTAATTATTTAATTTGATCGTCAACATTATTAGTCCTGGGCTGTTTCGAAAATCTTGATTTTCCTTGTCAGTCGCCATTTGTTTTTACCTGGGAGACTTGTAGTTTACAGGTTGTCTCCCTTTTACTGATTTTCGTAGCGATTTGACTTCGCCATGAAGTCAGTTGGCTGGCGAGATTTAGCGATTTTCAAAATTCTTTGGCGACTTAAATCGTCATTTCGCCGGCAAGATTATGGCCTGAAGAACTGTACTTATCATCACTGCATGTCAAATTTTAAAGAAAAATTCTTTAATATGAGGAAGGCGCTACCTTAAATGCCAGCTTTATACCAAGACTATGTCCTATATATTGATTGATTGTTGGTTGCTAAAGTCCAGTGGCAAATAGTTCATGCATGTTTAGTACGAATGTTCTACATATAGTTTTTGTCTAAAAAAAAAAAATAAGTTCAGATGGAAAATGTTTAGGGAATGATCATTGAGCTTCAAAAGGAAGGAGTGGGTATGGTATTTTTCTAGTTCAAATAATTACGAGGGGCCTGATGGGGGGGGGGTCTCATCACGAAAATCATTGATTTTTTTGTCAATCACGATTCACAGAAAATAAATTTCCATGATCACGGATCACGAAAATATAAAAAGAGTAGGGTAGAATCTGTTTTAGCGGACCCCGGAAGTTGGAAGATGCACAATTTATGCGCATGACCGATCACCCCAATTTACGTTGCTATGCTAGAATATAAACAGCGGCCATTTTTGTTAACGCTTCAAGAGACGAAGATGCAAATGATTTTTAAAGATTGCTTTTAACTAGTGTAACTGAACAATTTAAAATAAATCTAAAGCACTTACCCATTTAAGCTTGAAAATCATGCAGACTAGAATTTAATGTGTTTGTTATTTCGTGTAGTACTCTGGGTTTTTTAGTTGCAGGTTGTGGTTCACTGATGCTGATAATTTCTGTGGTAATCAATGTTTGTTTTTGTTTTTCTGGATTATACACTTTTTTAATGAGGGTTATAAATGCTATGAAAGGGTCTTCAGAGCCGATTATGTATTTCTTTCGTACACAATATTGACTGAAATAAGTATCATAAAGTGATTTTACCGTGCCGTATTTTGGTAGTGATTTTTTAAGTGCACGCCAGGTACTTTCAGTGGTGTTTGTATGCGCTCTCCTGTTTCTGGGTCTACAAAATTCACGGAATGATTGACTTTCAAATGCTCAAATCCCTCTGAACCTAGACAATCATATGCTTTCCAACAGTCACTAATTATTGTTGTTCCTGGTTTTATATTGTCTTTTATTAATTTTAGTAATGTTTCTTTTGTTCTATTTTCCACGGTGGCGAAAAAACTTTTTTTGCTGTCTCTTTCAATACCTCCAAACACCCACTGACCTTCTACTTGACGCCCTACGTGATAAATAATATTTTTTCCAAACTTAAATTATGTCCTTGAAACCAGGATCCGTTTCTGATAGAAACTTTTTTACTGCATTTTTTGTTGCTGCACTTCCAATAAAAAATGTCGTTTGAAAAAGAACTGTCTTTTCTTAATCCAAAATGTCCATGGCTACACTTTTTACATACCTCTCCAGTTAAATCTAGAATTAATCCTATAGAAATACACCACTGAATAATTTCTCAATACTTTCACAAATAATAAATCTTAACTTGATCGGCATTTCCGTATTGACATTGTAATGTTTGTAAACAAACACAGCTGATTTTACGTTACGGTTGACAATGAAATAACTTATTTCATGAATATTCATGACGTAGAGGTCACCGATAATGAAATTTTTATCACGTGATATACCTACCTGAGTAATGGAAGCGTGTACATTTTGCACACTTACCAAGACGTCTTTCTGTTAGATATTGTAATTCTAATTTAAAAAACTGTTTAAAACAACAGTTTTTAAAACAAAACTTCACCTATTTTGACCTTATTTTTTAGCTCACCGGGGCCCGAAGGGCCCCATGTAAGCTTATGCCATTACTTGGCGTCCGTTGTCGTCTGTCATCGTCGTCTGTTGTCGTCGTAAACTAATTAAAAAATCTTCTCCTCTGAAACTACTGGGCCAAATAACTTCAAACTTTAACTAAATGTTCCTTAGGGTATCTAGTTTATAAATTGTATCCGAAGTTTTGATCCATCGACAAACATGGCCGCCATGTCTAAAAATAGAACATAGGGGTCAAATGCAGTTTTTGGCTTATATCTCAAAAACTAAAGCTTTTAGAGCAAATCTGACACGGAGTAAAATTGTTTAATTGGTCAAGATCTTTCAGCTCTGAAATTTTCAGACGAATCAAACAACCCATTGTTGGGTTGCTGCCACCGAATTGGTAGTTTTAACAAAATTTTGCAGTTTTTTGTTATTATTTTGAATATTTTTATAGATATATACAAACTGTAAGCAGCAATAATGTTCAGCAAAGTAAGATCTACAAAAAAGTTAATATGACCATAATTGTCAATTGACCCCTTAAGGAGTTATTGCCCTATTAAGACAATTTTACACAATTTGTTCATCAAGTTTGCTAACATTTAAAAATCTTCTCCTCTGAAACTACTGAGCCAATTACCTTCAAACTTTAACTAAATGTTCTTTAGGGTATCTTGTTTATAAAATGTATCCGAAGTTTTGATTCATCGACAAACATGGCCGCCATGGCTAAAAATAGAACATAAGGGTCAAATGCAGTTTTTGGCTTATATCTCAAAAACTAAAGCTTTTAGAGCAAATCTGACATGGAGTAAAATTGTTTAATTGGTCAAGATCTATCAGTTCTGAAATTTTCAGACGAATCAAACAACCCATTGTTGGGTTGCTGCCACCGAATTGGTAGTTTTAACAAAATTTTGCAGTTTTTTGTTATTATTTTGAATATTATTATAGATATATACAAACTGTAAGCAGCAATAATGTTCAGCAAAGTAAGATCTACAAAAAAGTTAATATGACCATAATTGTCAATTGACCCCTTAAGGAGTTATTGCCCTTTGAAGACAATTTTACACAATTTGTTCATCAAGTTTGCTAACATTTAAAAATCTTCTCCTCTGAAACTACTGAGCCAATTACCTTCAAACTTTAACTAAATGTTCTTTAGGGTATCTTGTTTATAAAATGTATCCGAAGTTTTGATTCATCGACAAACATGGCCGCCATGGCTAAAAATAGAACATAAGGGTCAAATGCAGTTTTTGGCTTATATCTCAAAAACTAAATCTTTTAGAGCAAATCTGACATGGGATAAAATTGTTTAATTGGTCAAGATCTATCGGC